CTAGTTTATTGATCCCTAAGAACTAAATTAGGAATTATTTTCAGTTGGATTTTTTTGGTTGTCATGCAGGCAGTTAAATGTGTCCAATATGAAATACCTCTCCTCGTCTGGTGGATACCTCCTCTGGTTCAGAAGAGCGTCTTGATCTAAACCAGCTGGAAAAAAAATAAAAACATTTTTGTTTTGTTTATGTTGTGATAATAATGATCTACAGCCAAATATACACATTAGTGTGTAGCTGTATATGTCATATGACAGGACAATTTGTCTCACCATTCAAAGATGACCATTGTACTGACGAGCATTATGATTCCCAGGATCTTGAGTATCAAATGAACATCTAGGCCTACCGTCCCAATCTGTTGATCACCTGCAACCCAACAGCATCTGAGGAAAATGTGAGATTAACTTAATCAAAATAATACCATCATGTGCAGACAATCACAGGTTGTTCTTACATGAAACATGGAGAGTCTTTGTCTCCTCTGCTGTCTTCACATCTTTCCCTTCATTCACAGGATAGTTGGCTGAGCAGGTGATGTTGAATCCATCATGTTGGTCTGTCAGAGTGAGGGTCTTCTGGATCTTAGTCGTGAAGGTCCGATCTGGGTTTTCCTCAATTGTGTTGGGAGGGTCTTGTTGGAGCGTCCAGGTGAGTTTAGGAGGGGAGTGTGGACAGGGAGCTGGAGCTGAGCAGGTTACAGTGACAGACTCCGCCTCCTTCAGATCACCTGGGATCTCAATGGTGGGGCTCGGAGGAGAATCTGTGCAGGTTTAATACACAATTAGTATTTAATCGTTCTGTTTTCGCTATAACATTATGATAAAAAACCTTACCTTTAACTGTTATTTGAATAGGATCGTCAGAAGCAGTTGCTTTAAATGTTTTCTTCTTAAATCTGAAGAAGTATTTGTTTGAGTAACTTGTGTTTAAACTGGAAAACAGAGTGTTGCAGTTGTTCTCACTCAGGTTTCCAGTGATATTCATTGGATAGGTGTTCTTTGCCTTATTACTGTTAAAAATCACATTTTCTGGATGTTCTCCAAGGTGCTCATGGGTGATTTTAATCAACATTCCAATTCTGTTATCAATCTTAATTTCTTCTGTAGCACTAAATGTACACGGGATGTGTAAACAGGATCCACTCAGTGCCTCCATCTCCTTCGGTGCAGTAATGGAAAGGTCTGTGCAATCCATAGAACCTGTCAAACCAGACTCATGATGAATATGAGGTTAGAAAAATCAGCATGAATAGACAAACTAAATATACCTCAGCAGCGGGATGTTGCATGTTTTTCCGGCACCAATGTTGGTAGACAAGCTCACCTGAAATAAAGAGGATGTGGAGTATCACGATTTCTGTTGCAGACATGGCTCCCAGCTCCTAAGTTGGAAAACAAAAACAATAACTTTGACACTGTTTAAACAAGTTTTAGAGCTGGTACAAACCGGAGTCATCGTGTTGAACAGAGAAACTGATGCTAAAAATCTAAACGCTGATGCAAATGATTCCTTCTCAGGTCTTAAAGGTGGGGTATGACATTTTGGAGAAACCAGCTCGAGTGCGCTAGAATTTGAAACTACACAGCCGGAAAAAATCAGCCTCTTCCTTACAGAGCCCCTCCTCCAACACACACGAACGCGCACATGACCAATGACGGCACGAGATAAGTTTGTGCACAGATGGAAGGCTGACAGGCAGGTAGGCCATCCAGTTATTTTAGCCGGGCCGGCTCAGATGATTGGTCGTGCTTTTTACAGCGCCACGGCTTCCACAAATGACATTTTGTTATGTATTTATTGTCAAAGCATTTAAGATATTCATTGCTATCGGGATGTTAAGAGCATTCCATGGAATATAACAAAAAGTTTTTCTGAAATAAATTACATACTCCACCTTTAATTCTGACCAAAAAAAAGGATCAAATTAAATATTAGATCATATAATGTTTGTTTTTTTAGTTCATGAAAAGTAATTTTTAACATAATATAATACAATCTGGAAATGTTCTTACCAAAAAATCCTATATGAAAAAGAGAGATGCGATGAGACTCTTCTGTGGGAAATGAATATCAGAGGGTGAATTTGAGCTTAAATATAAATAACCAACTTCCTTGTTTAGGGTGTAATTTAACCCCGGGGATACTTCCTGTGTTTCAGCTCCACGCAGAAATCCTGCTGGTTTAGTGGTACCAGTGACCTACATTAAAAAAACAGGAAGTACATGTGAAACATCAGAAATACTTTATTCTTCCCGCAGTGGGAACAATTACAGCAAAGTAGAAGAGTTACATATTATATAAAAAGGCAAGTTAAAAATAAATGTAATAATAAATAAATAGACTATGGTAAAACAAATATGCAGCAGTGTCTAAAAATAATATATCACATTAAAAAACAGAATACTGCAAAAAAAACATTCTAGCTCTTTATGCAGAATACAACATATATCATTAGAATATTTTAAATTGAAATATTATTAATTTGTGGCATTACATTATTTAAAATATAATATTCTTCTGTTTTTATCACTAATTCATGACTTATTTTAATGTAGTATTGTGTTATTGTGGAGCAAATGTAAGATACTTTCTTTGCAACTGGGTAGATGAGTTGAATATTACAAATTCATATCACATTCTTTAAATAAAAGTAACTAAATGAAGGGGACAGTACCCTACAATACACCACTGCGTTAGGACCTCCATGTGAGCAACAGTGACACCCAGTGGACACACTCTGTATTACATGATCTGTATTGAAACATAAAACACTGCAACAGAACTCATGCCATGTCCTACATCCAGTGGTGTAAAGTAACTAAGTACATTTACTACTGTAAGTACTTCACTTAAGTGCAATTTTGAGGTACTTGTATTTTGAGTATTTCAATTTTCCGCTACTTTATACTTCTACTCCACTACAATTCAGAGGTCAATTGTGTACTTTTACACCACTACATGTATTTAATACCTTTAGTTACCTTGCAGATTTGGATTAATGATGTGAAATATATTTACACATTTAGTCTTGTTTTTGTAAATTGTGTTTATTTGATGGATTCATTTTTATTAAGTAGCATACTGTACATTTGCACCTCTTTAATTTGGAAGCCCCTGATAGCTTTGCATCTTCCTCTGTATCATTATAAAATAGGCAACAATACACATATTTAGCTATAATCAATGAATATTTTAACACTGTAAAAACTTCAAGATCCCCCCAGCTGTCATCAGATTGTGATTCAAATCAAATCAAATCAAGTTTTATTTATATAGCACATTTTTAAAACGATTTTTGGTCTAGCCAAAGTGCTGTATAATAATTACCTTACAGAAAGGACACTTTACAGCAAATATAACAGCACAGTTTGTGCAGAATATCAGTGTGAAAAAACGACACCCTCTGTCCTTAGACCCTCACATCGTACAAGGAAAAACTTCCGGAGAAAAAAACCACAGTTTAAGGGGAAATTAATACGATGCTAAATCTTGATTGGTGCACAGAAAGAGGTGACATCATATTTTCCAACCTAAGCCACACCCACGTCAAACTAGTGAGAGCCTCCATGGAAAAAAGACTCATGTGAATTTCAAAACTGATAAAAGTTATGTCAAAAAAGATAAATAAATATATACATGCTTCATAAATAATGAAATTGAATACGATACCCTACTATATAATTATAATACTTTATATTTTTTCAAGTTGGGAAGTGTTTTAAGCATTACTTCAACTTAAACAAAAAATTAAATACCTGTTGGTTTATTTTGTGAAATGACCTTTACACAAAAATACACATCATTTCTCAGATCATATCTCGAGTGAAAATAACAGATGGTTGACTAAACCAGATAATTAAGATAATTTAAAATGTTAACTTCCTATTTTATTCGTCATCGTCTAACTTTACTTCTGATAGTCTGATGATTTTGATTTGACAAGGCCTAACAACTCCCCTTTCTTTGTTTATTTCTATGAATAAATGGCACTCTCTTAGTAATACTTGCAAACTAAATGTAAAATGTTGGGTTAAAAAATGCAGTTTGTTGCATAGCAGGGCCTTTTATTAAAGCGCCAAAAATGGATTTTTAAGAACAATAAATACTATAAATATGACACTTTAAATATATTTTCATTTCATTTCAAACCTTTATTTAACCAGATGGTCCCATTGAGATCATAGATCTCTTTTTCAAGGGAGACCTGCAGCATATAGGTTCACATGAAACATAAAACAATAAAGGACATCATACATTATATTTACAGGATACATTTACATAGTTATAGACATTTACAAGTACCCATAGTATCAACGAGCATTTCATTTAGCCTAGCTTTAAAAACATGCAGAGGAATGAAATTGCTCCGTTTCAATTCTTGCTGAAGATTGTTCCAAGCAAGTGGAGCTGCGCACATAAAAGCTGTCTTACCTAAGACAGTCCTTGCTCTTGGCACATCTAACAATACTACATCATGCGATCTCAGACAATAGCTGCTTGCAACTCTCTGTGTTATCAGAGAGCAGATATAATACGGGAGTTTACCCAACAAAGCTTTATAAATAAACATGTACCAATGACTGAGCCTCCGTACAGTAAGTGATGGCAAACCTGCCTTGGAATACAGGGTACAGTGATGAGTAAGTGCTTTACAATTTGTGACAAATCTCAGTGCGCTGTGATAGGCGGCATCTAACTTGATTAGGTAATGGGCTGGTGCATTCATATAGATCAGATCCCCATAGTCCAGCACAGGTCAAAAGGTCACAGAGACTAGCCTTTTCCTGGCCTCAAGTGAGAAACAGGACTTGTTTCTGAAAAAGAAACCGAGCCTAACCCTCAGCTTTTTAAGCAGGTTATTGACATGAAGTTTAAAAGTAAGACAATCATCAAGCCAGATACCAAGGTATTTATAACAGGCAACCACTTGTAGTACTTGTCCTTGCATAGTAACAATATCTAAAACAGGCTCTGGTGTCTTTTTAGCTTTTGAAAAAAGCATTACCTTGGTTTTATCAACATTTAAAAGAAGCTTAAGTTCATATGGAAAAAACTTCAAGGAAGCAAAAAGGTTTTTGTGGCAATAAAAAAACCTGAATATTTGTCTAAAAACATACATGTCTTTACATTCATTTCTTCTTCACTTGAGCGTAGAGGTCCTCTGGTCTGTTTGCTGTCTCTGACACTTTGACCTGAACGTACAGCGGGTCCTCCGTCTGTCCACCGTCCTGCTCTGAGACAGGGGGACTTTGATTCCTCTGCTTGGAGAAGTCGATCTCTCCGTAGTGGATTTCTTCTCCTGTTTCTGTTGCTGCAGCTGATTCTTGGACAGCTGTTAGCATCTGCGTATCATTGATTTGTGTCTCATGTTCTCCCCTGATCTGCTCCCCCTGCTGAGAGTTGATACATATAAATAGGAACTCTGATGAAACACCATGACAGTGGTTCATTGTGCCACATTTACTCACAGATAAGGAACTTAGTCAGTGCAGTCTCCAGTCTATTTAAGAAAGTATTCACAACACATATATGTACTGCACATTTGAGTATTTCCCCACCTGTGACTGTTCTTGAGTTGTATGTTTGGACTTCAACCACCTGGAAGAGATAAAGAGCGGTCAGCTTCATGTAATAGACTTTGATATTAAATTGATTTGATTTACTTACCAAACAGCAACAGCAAAACAGATGAGTATCATGATCCCAATGATCCCCCCAACAACTCCCCCCCATGGTGAAGAGCCATCAGTTCCTACAGGAAAAAAAACATTCATGGCTATAATCCAGATTTCATGTAGAGCTTGACTTCATACAGTATTTAGGAAACACAGACAATGATGAAGCTGAAACTCAAAAAAAATTCTCAGTTGATGAAATTCAGTTTTTTATTTTCTCTCTTCCTCTTTTCACTTTCCTTTCCAATTACAAATCTCTTTTCGTCCTATTTTATGTGGCCTAATTTGATTAAATCCTAACTTATCATTTATAGACCACATTTTTCGATGTAAATGTGTTTTTTAACTTCCAATCAAACCCATTATTCCCATTTTTGCATATATTTACATTGATGCATTAACTGCTTTATCCAACAATACCTGCTCCTATTTCACAAACGTATGCAGTACATTTCTGTGTTTACCTCCGTTAGCCAGATGGATCTTTGGTGATGTTTCTTCACCAAGAGCATTTGTGGCCATGCAGTAATAACGTCCTCCCTCTGTGGCATTAAAGCTCTAAATCTCTCCCTGTGAGACGTTCATGACTCCTTCTTGGCTCTCCTTGAACCAGGTGAAGCTGCTGACGGGAGGCTGGGCTCTGCTGGAGCAGCTCAGCTCCACCCAGCTGCCCACTGACACCGAACCTTAGGGCCGACTGACGGAGGCGAAGGTGTCCTTAGGAGTATCTGAGGAAAATGTGAGATTAACTTCATTAAAATCATACCATCATGTGCTGACACTCACAGGGTGTTCTTACATGAAACATGGAGAGTCTTTGTCTCCTCTGCTGTCTTCACATCTTTCCCTTCATTCACAGGATAGCTGGCAGAGCAGGTGATGTTGAATCCATCCTGTTGGTCTGTCAGAGTGAGGGTCTTCTGGATTTTAGTCGTGAAGGTCCGATCTGGGTTTTCCTCCATTGTGTTGGGAGGGTTTTGTTGGAGAGTCCAGGTGAGTTTAGGAGGGGCGTGTGGACAGGGAGTTGGAGCTGAGCAGGTTACAGTGACAGACTCCGCCTCCTTCAGATCACCTGGGATCTCAATGGTGGGGCTCGGAGGAGAATCTGTGCTTTTACACATTTTAAATGTAAGGATACAGGCCAATACAGTTTTCAACAGTAATCAAAAAATGTACATCTTATTGTAAAACTTGAAAAGAAAGATTAGTCAGCTGCATCCTTAGTAGATGTTGTCATCCACCGGTCACCACATGACCTCATATCTGTGCATGAAGACGGGCATTGTTTTTAATATAATGCATACAATATTATATACTGTAATATATTTGGATTTAGCAGGTTTCAGATATTATGACTTTTTGATTGTCTGAATAATTTCTGTAATAACTGATACATTGATTATCCTAGATGTATAATTTAACAATAAAGGTAAGACTACTACTCCAACAAAAAGTCTCTTACCTTCCACTGTTATTTGAAGAGGATCACATGCAGCTGTTGCCTTAAATGGGCTGTTCTCAATCCTGAAGAAGTATTTGTCTGTGTGAATTTTATTCAAACTAGAAAACAGAGTGGTGCAGTTTCCCTTTTTCAGGTTTCCAGTAATACTCATTGGATATGTTTTAATTGTCCCATCACTGTGGAAAATCCAGTTTTCTTTATTTTTGGAAAATGTGGACTCTTTTTTAATCCACACTACGAAGATTGCTCGTGAGCTGTTGAAGCCCTTATCTGGGTCAGCGCTAAAGTTACACGGGATCAGCAAACAGGATCCACTCAGTGCTTCCATCCGCTTCGGTGTGGTGATGTTAAGGGACTTAGAACAAGTACCTTCAATAAGATGTGGGAGAAAATCTGCAGGAAGAAAAAAGAGCATATTAACAAACTGTGTCTAGCAAATTGTATACAAACTCAGGATGTGAACAAAGGAGTAATTCTGGTATTTCTGCTTTTTCTAAGTAAAGATTGTAAACTATTAAAGTAACAAACATCTCACCTGAAACAAAGAGGACTAGCAGCAACATGTTGGTCACCATATTCAGGATTCTGGATTTACAAACAAAAGATCACTGTTACTTTTCATTTGTAGTAATCATACATATAACGTATTCAGTTTTTACAAAGTGCCTTTTAAAGCAACTTCCCTACTTCAAAGGCACCACAGAAACTTGCCCTGTACAACCAGAGTTAGTTTTTGACACTTTCAATTTAAAGGTGAAATAATTAACAGAAAATATAAAAAATACAATAAAAGACAGAGTTCAGTCAAATGTTTCCTTACCACATGAGCCCACAGCTAGAAAGTAAGAAAACGTAAAGTGTTCTGGCTTGAGTCAAACCTTTTTATGTTTAAGGGAACTGAACTAACCACGAGCCGCTGTAATATAAAGAAAGATGATTTGCTGTTGAAGAAATGTTTCCCTTTTATGGAGGCAAAACGAGTAGAAATCACATGACTACATTTACTGCACTTTTCCTGTGATAAAAGATGAACACCACCCTTAACAGAGGTAGAACAACGCACAATCATGTTTTTTTTTGTTAATTTAATGTTTAGTTTTTAAAGTGGATGGTTGTAAAAAATGTGGTTGATGTTTGGAACCCTTCCATAGCCGAAAACAGTGAAAATGTAGTCTTCTCCAAAGGGGGCCATGTATGCCTTATCACATGTTTCTCTGGAAATAGTGACCAGAATGCCATCACCTTTGAACTAGTCTGTCATTATTAAAACAATCACACACATATTTAATTCAAATGTACCAGAGATTGTTCTCTTCTTTCTTAAAAGTAGGAAGTAAGGAAGTGAGACATTTTTAGGTTTCAAAGGACATGAGTCATGCCGTGAACAAAAATAATGACATATTTCAAGAGCAGGAAATATTAACTTTATTTTATTCACAATGTTGATTCTTACCATTTTAATTATCAAAATATATCATCATAAAAACAGTAACTTAGATATCTGATTGTATTTGTATGCATATAACTCAAAGCCTCTGCACAGAATTCTTTTTTAACCCCTGATGTGTTTTTAATTTAACACAGTTCACATGCATCCAACAGAAATACAAGTTAAGCAAATACAAGGTATAAGAACAAAATAAAAATCATGTTCCATGATTACGTTTAACGTGAGACAAATGAATGAAGAACTTTTTACTTGTGTGTGTATTTAATGGAGACAAAGAGCAGGAAACACTTCAACATGTTATTCACTAGGTTTTGGGTCATATTTAAAGACCATAGTACCATTTAGTATTTACAGAAATCTGAATTTTAAGTGGCACACTCAGGCAAATCAATACGAAATAGATTATTTATCCTATACCAAAAATACCTGAAAAATGTTGTAGAAAGCATTGAAATTATTGTCTTACCAAAATGTCAATTCAGGAAGTAATGTAAGGTGTCCAACAAATGTTCTACAGTATTTAGTCTTGCGAGACAAAAGGAAGTGGAGACACACACACCAGGCTTTTGTAGCTGCTAGATGCCACATCATGACCGATATTTAGTCTCTCTGCTAATATCCTATTTTTATTTTCATCACACCACTCACTGCAATCCTGTAAGTCACTCCTTCTTAATGTGGAACATATAAGGCAAATCAATACAGCATTTTCTTTCAGTAAGAGTGAACTGAACGTCTTCCTGCTCTCTTTGTGACTCAGGATGTTTGTAACTCGACCACACGGTTGACATAGTCTGCTTCTGCTGCGTCCTGAAAAATAAGAGGGGAGTTTACTGTAACTTAAGAGATTTAGTAACTGTAAAGATTAAAAATAATGTGATGTCATTTGTGTAGTCAGAGAATAACAGTTATGTCTCAGGACCTCACAACACATATATGTAATGCAAATTTGAGTATTTCCTCACCTGTGACTGTTCTTGAGTTGTGTGTTTGGACTTCAACCACCTGGAAGAGATAAAGAGCGGTCAGCTTCATGTAATAGATTTGGATATTAAATTGATTTGAGTTACTCACCAAACAGTAACAGCAAAACAGATGAGTATCATGATCCCAATGATCCCCCCAACAACTCCCCCCCATGATGAAGAGCCATGAAGCTGTTTGTCTCCTACAGGAAAAAAAAACATTCGTGACTATAATCCAGATTTCATGTAGAGCTTGACTTCATACAGTATTTAGGAAACACAGACAATGATGAAGCTGTTGCAAAACTCAAAATGTTTTCTCAGTTGATGAAATTCTGTTTTTAATTTTCTCTCTTCCTCTTTTCACTTTCCTTTCCAATTACAAATCTCTTTTCGTCCTATTTTATGTGGCCTACATTTGATGAAATCCTAACTTATCATTTATAGACCACATTTTTCGATGTAAATGTGTTTTTTAACTTCCAATCAAACTCATTATTCCCATTTTTGCTTATATTTACATTGATGCATTAACTGCTCTATCCAACAATACCTGCTCCTATTTCACAAACGTTTGCAGTACATTTCTGTGTTTACCTCCGTTAGCCAGCTGGATCTTTGGTGAGGTTTCTTTACCAAGAGCATTTGTAGCCACACAGTAATAACGTCCTCCCTCTGTGGCATTAAAGCTGTAAATCTGTCCCTGTGAGACCTTCATGTCTCCATCTTGGCTCACCTTGAACCAGGTGAAGCTGCTGACGGGAGGCTGGGCTCTGCTGGAGCAGCTCAGCTCCACCCAGCTGCCCGCTGACACCGAACCTGAGGGCGGACTGACGGAGGCGGAGGTGTCCTTAGGAGCATCTGAGGAAAATGTGAGATTAACTTCATTCAAATCATACCATCATGTGCAGACAATCACAGGGTGTTCTTACATGAAACATGGAGAGTCTTTGTCTCCTCTGCTGTCTTCACATCTTTCCCTTCATTCACAGGATAGCTGGCAGAGCAGGTGATGTTGAATCCATCATGTTGGTCTGTCAGAGTGAGGGTCTTCTGGATCTTAGTCGTGAAGGTCCGATCTGGGTTTTCCTCCATTGTGTTGGGAGGGTCTTGTTGGAGAGTCCAGGTGAGTTTAGGAGGGGAGTGTGGACAGAGAGCTGGAGCTGAGCAGGTTACAGTGACAGACTCCGCCTCCTTCAGATCACCTGGGATCTCAATGGTGAGGCTCGGAGGAGAATCTGTGCTTTTACACATTTTAAATGTAAGGATACAGGCCAATACAGTTTTCAACAGTAATCAAAAAATGTACATCTTGTTGTAAAATGTGAAAAGAAAGGTCAGTCAGCTGCATCCTTTATCGAGATGTCACTCACTCATATCTGTGCATGTAGACGTGCATTATTTGTAATAGTAATACATACAATATTATACTATATACTGTAATATATTTGGATTGAAAATATGATATGGAACCATTCTTTCAGCAGGTTTCAGATATTATGACTTTTTGATTGTCTGAATAATTTCTGTAATAACTGATACATTGATTATCCTAGATGTATAGTTTAACAATAAAGGTATGACTACTCCAACAAAAAGTCTCTTACCTTTCACTGTTATTTGAAGAGGATCACATGGAGCTGTTGCCAGAAATGGGCTGTTCTCAATCCTGAAGAAGTATTTGTTTGTGTGAATTTCTTCCAAAGTAGAAAACAGAGTGGTGCAGTTTCCCTGTCTCAGGTCTCCTGTAATACTCATTGGATATCTGTTGATTGTCCCATCACTGTGGAAAATCACATTCTTTGGTTTTTGGTCAAATGTGGACTCTTTTTTCATCCACACTCCAAAGATTTCTCGTGAGCTGTTGAAGCCCACATCTGGGTCAGCGCTGAAGATACACGGGATCAGCAAACAGGATCCACTCAGTGCTTCCATCTGCTTCGGTGTGGTGATGCGAAGGTGCTCACAAGCACCTTCAACAAGATGTGGGAGAAAATCTGCAGGAAGAAAAAAGAGCATATTAACAAACTGTGTCTTGTAAGCAAATTGTATACAAACTCAGGATGTGAACAAAGGAGTCATTCTGGTATTTCTGCTTTTTCTAAGTAAAGATTGTAAACTATTAAAGTAACAAACATCTCACCTGAAACAAACAGGACTAGCAGCAACATGTTGGTCACCATATTCAGGATTCTGGATCTGCAAACACAAGATCACTGTTACTTTTCATTTGTGTTAATCATATATATCACATATTCAGTTTTTACAAAGTGCCTTTTCAAGCAACTTCCCTTCTTCAATGCACCACAGAAACTTGCCCTGTACAACCAGGGTTAGTTAGCAAGCAAGTTAGTTACAGTAGCAATTTGCATTTAAAGGCCTCTGCAGAGCTGTGCTTTAAAATAAATATTACAAATACAATAGAAGAGTTCAGTAAAATGTTTCCTTACCACACGAGCCCACAGGGAACTGAACTAACCCCTAGCTGCTGTAATATAAAGAAAGAGGATTTGAGAAATGTTTCCCTTTTTTAGAGCCAAAACTGCTAGAAATAACATGACTACATTTACTGCAGTTTTTACCAACGCTGCACTTTTCCTGTGATAAAAGGGGAACAAACCACCCCTAACCGAGGTAAAACAAAGCACAATCATGTGGATGGTTGTATAAGAAATATTTTATTTGCCATTTTGGTCCATAGCCAAACATAGTGAAAATGTATTCTTCTCTTGTAGCTCTGTAAGTAATGATCAGAGTCAATACATTTGGACTGGATGTTAACAGAGACAATAAAGTAAAGATTTCATCAATACCTTTTACTATCTTTGTTATACTCTGTATTTAAACACACATGAATAATAGGTGGAAAATAAATTGGCAATTAAAAATCCAAAAGGTATGTATTTACTTTTCTGTTATTCTGTTATTATTAAAGTAAGGAGCCAAATCACCAACTTCATTAATTATTAAGTACCAGAGACTGTTCTCTTTTCTTAAAAGTAGGAAGGAAGTCAGTGTCATGTCTCGGAAACTTATTATGAAAGTTTATTCTTTATATTAGTTTTGTCATGTCCCGTTGTCCTGTGCCCTCTGTCTTATTGTGAAAAGTAATTCTCCCTCTCGTTTCAGAACTCCATGCTCCCCGCCCCTATGTGTCTCCTGTGTTCGTGATTGCTTACTCCGCCCTGATTGTTTCCACCTGTTCCCCTCACCTTGTGTGTATATTGTGTTAGTCCCCACCTGTCCAGTGCCAGTTCGTTTCTCATTCATGACTACGCTCAAGCCTGCTCCATGGTCGTATCCCGTTTCTCATGCTCCTGATATCTGCTGATAGTTTTTCCTCTAAAGAGTGATTTTGTGTTTCCTTGTTTTGTTACTGTGCTTAAACCAGTAAAGTCTTTATTTTTGGATACCACCCGAGTCTGAGTTGTGCATTTGAGTTCATGCCACAAAGTTCACCCCTTGACAGTCAGATGTTTAGGTTTCAAAGGACATGAGTCATGTCGTGAACAAAAATAATGACATATTTCAAGAGCAGGAAATATTAACTTTATTTTATCCACAATGTTGATTCTTACCATTTTAATTATCACATGTTATCATCATCAACACAATAACTTAGATATCTGAATGTATTTGTATGCATAACATTCAAAGCTTCTGCACAGAATTCTTTTTTAACTCCTGATGTGTTTTTTATTTAACACAGTTCACATGCATCCAACAGAAATACAAGTTAAGCAATTACAAAGTAAAAGAACAAAATAAAAATCATGTGCCATGATTACGTTTAACGTGAGACAAATTAATGAAGAACTTTTTACTTTTGTGTGTATTTAATGGAGACAAAGAGCAGGACACACTTCAACATGTTATTCACTGGTTTAGGGTCATATTTAAAGACCATAGTACCATTTAGTATTTACAGAAATCTGAATTTTAAGTGGCACACTAAGTCAAATAATTACGAAATACATTTTTTATCCTAAACCAAAAATACCGAAAAATGTTGTAGAAAGCATTGAAATTATTGTCTTACCAAAATGTGCAATTCAGGAAGTAATGTAAGGTGTCCAACAAATGTACTACAGTATTTAGTCTTGTAGAAAAAAGGACCCATATTTCGTCTCGGTGCTAATATCCTGTTTTTATTTTCATCACACCACTCACTGCAATCCTGTAAGCCACTCCTTCTTAATGTGGAACATATAAGGCAAATCAATACAGCATTTTCTTTCAGTAAAAGTGAACTGAACGTCTTCCTGCTCTCTTTGTGACTCAGGATGTTTGTAACTCGACCACACAGTTTACATATTCTGCTTCTGCTGCGTACTGAAAAATAAGAGGGGAGTTTACAGTAACTTAAAGAGATTCAGTATCTGTAAAGATTAAAAATAGTTGCAACATGTCATTTGTGTAGCCACAGAATAACAGTTATGTCTCAGGACCTCACAACACCATACACTGTACAGCAGACGGAGCAATCAACCAAATAACTAAAAAGACCCTTTAAAGGTCACCTTTTATGCAAAATCCACTTGTTCATGTCTTTTATACATAAACATGTGTCCCCTCTGTGTTAAGAGATTCTGAACGTTTCAGGAAAATAGATTCCCTCTCTTTTTGTCCTGATCCTTTTATATAAAAACCTGTCTGAAAATGAGCTGATCAGATTTTGGCCACTTTTTGATGTCATAATGTTTTTTTGGGTTGTACAACCACTAGCCAATAACCAACCAAGGTAACTCCCGCCGACCTTATCACCTGAATCTCCTCCAAGAACATTGTATTTGTTCAAACCAATCACTTCTCAGAGGGGCGTGGCCAGCAGCAGCTCATTAGCATTTAAAGCTACAGACACAGAATCAGCACTTTTGGAACAGGGCTGAAACAGAGGGGTTTATGGGATGCTGCAATTATCTGTTTGGTATTTCAGCCAAACACTTCAGAGACATGTTTTGTGTATATCTGAGACCTATAATATATTGTTGAAAAAGAGTATCATAGGGGATCTTTAAAGAATAAGTTGAAATGTGCACACTAAAACGCACACATATACACAATAATGTTTGCTATATCATCTTTACAAGGTGATACTACGTTAATGTTGTGTTAGAGCTTGTTGGACTGCACTCAAAATAAATGAATGCAGGTTTAAAGTTTGACTTGATTTTTATTGGGGAATACTTATATTTGTCTATGATTATGTTTTCTTGGTATTTATGTCTGATGTTCTGTTATCAGCAATCTGTGTTTTAATGGAACAATTCATATAATTGTTATTGCAAACATGTTACCTTTTTACACTTCCATCAGACATGGAGCAACATTAGCCTTCATTTGGAGTCACATGTCTGATAACTGGAGAATATTCATCTAATATTTGTTGCTCATAAACTGCTAAACACTCCATTTGTCACCAGCTAACTTCTTACATCACAAGTCTGCGATATAAGGTAACATAACCAGGTGTTTTAGTTATTTTCATTGCTTTAACCTGCTTCAAAATCAATAGTGAACATTCGTAAATGCCTGCACCCAGCTCTGATGTCTCAGTAGTGCGATGTGCTGCTTTGCATGTGATGTCACTACTGTTAAAAAGTATAATCATTGGAGGATAATCCCTTCTTAATTATGCACATCCTAACACAAGAAAAACTACAAATAAACCCTAGTTTATTGATCCCTAAGAACTCAATTAGGAATTATTTTCAGTTGGATTTTTTTGGTTGTCATGCAGGCAGTTAAATGTGTCCAATATGAAATACCTCTCCTCGTCTGGTGGATACCTCCTCTGGTTCAGAAGACCGTCTTGATCTAAACCAGCTGGGAAAAAAGGAAAACATTTTTTTTTTGTTTATGTTGTGATGATAATGATCTACAGCCACATATACAAATTAGTGTGTAGCTGCATATGTCATATCACAGGAGAATTTGTCTCACCATTCAAAGATGACCATTGTACTGACGAGCATTATGATTACCAGGATCTTCAGTATCAAATGAACATCAACCGTCTCAACCTGTTGATCACCTGCAACCCAACAGCATGGTCAGATTCCACTCACTGGGAAACATGAGAACATCTCAAACCAGGACTCCTGCTGCTACCTTCAAATATCAACGCACGTCCTTAGTTTAATTACATTTAATTACGTGTAATTTAACCCCGGGGATACTTCCTGTGTTTCAGCTCCACGCAGAAAGTCCTGCTGGTTTAGTGGTACCAGTGACCTACATTAAAAAAACATGAAGTACATGTGAAACATCAGAAATCCTTTATTCTTCCCGCAGTGGGAACATTTACAGCAAAGTAGAAGAGTTACATATTATATAAAAAGGCAAGTTAAAAATAAAATGTAATAATAAATAAATAGACTATGGTAAAACAAATATGCAGCAGTGTCTAAAAATAATATATCACAATAAAAAAAGAATACTGCAAAAAAACATTCTAGCTCTTTATGCAGGATACAACATATATCATTATAATATTTTAAAAATTGAAATATTATTAATTTGTGGCATTACATTATTTAAAATATGATATTCTTCTGTTTTTATCACTAATTCATGACTTATTTTAATGTAGTATTGTGTTATTGTGGATCAAATGTAAGATACTTTGTTTGCCACTGGGTAGATGAGTTGAATATTACAAATTCATATCACATCCTTTAAATAAAAGTAACTATATGACATTAAATGAAGGGGACAGGACCCTACAATACACCACGGCGTTAGGACCTCCATGTGAGCAACAGTGACACCCAGTGGACACACTCTGTATTACATGATCTGTAATGAAACATAAACACTGCAACAGAACTCATGCCATGTCCTACATCCAGTGGTGTAAAGTAACTAAGTACATTTACTAAGTACTTCACTTAAGTGCAATTTTGAGGTACTTGTATTTTGAGTATTTCAATTTTCTGCTACTTTATACTTCTACTCCACTACAATTCAGAGGTCAATTGTGTACTTTTACTCCACTACATTTATTTAATACCTTTAGTTACCTTGCAGATTTGGATTCATGATGTGAAATATATTTACACATTTAGTCTTGTTTTTGTAAATTGTGTTTATTTGATGGATTCATTTTTATTAAGTAGCATACTGTACATTTGCACCTCTTTAACTTATAGCTTTGCATCTTCCTCTGTATCATTATAAAATAGGCAACAATACACATATTTAGCTATAATCAATTAATATTTTAACACTGTAAAAACTTCAACACCCCCCCAGCTGTCATCAGATGGTGATTAATACGATGCTAAATCTTGATTGGTGCACAGAAACAGGTGACATCATCTTTTCCAACCTAAGCCACACCCACGTCAAACTAGTGAGAGCCTCCATGGAAAAAAGACTCATGTGAATTTCAACTGTTAAAAGTTATGTCAAAAAAAGATAAATAAATATATACATGCTTCATAAATAAATACATAGAATATGATGTAAAATAATGCTACTTTCCAGTTTTTCCACCATATCAGTTGGGAAGTGTTTTAAGTATTATGTCAACTAAAACAAAAAATGTAATACTTGTTAGCTTATTTTTGTAAAATGATCTTTACACAAAAATATACACAAGTTATCCGATCATATCTCGAGAGAAAGGAACATATGGTAAACCAGATAATGAAGATATTTGTACTTCCTGTTTTATTCGTCATCGTCTAACTTTATATCTGATAGTCTGATGAGTTTGATATGAAAGGTCCAGCCAGAGATCAAGTAGCCCTACAACTCCCCTTTCTTTGTTTATTTCTATGAATAAATTGAACTCTTTTAGTAATACTAAATGTAAAATGTTGGGTTAAAAAATGCAGTTTGTTGCATAGCAGGGCCTTTTATTAAAGCAATAAATAACATAAAAGCGCACTTTAAAAAAATCGAAATATGACACTTTAAATATATGGCAAAGAACTTCAAGGTTTGAAGCAAAAAGGTTTTTGTGGCAGAAAAAAACCCTGAAAAATCTAAAAAAATACTTGTCTATACATTCATTTCCTTTTCACTTGAGCGTAGAGGTCCTCTAGTCTGTTTGCTGTCTCTGACACTTTGACCTCAGCGTACAGCGTGTCCTCCGTCTGTCCACCGTCCTGCTCTGAGACAGGGGGACTTATATTCCTCTGCTTGGAGAAGTCGATCTCTCCGTAGTGGATTTCTTCTCCTGTTTCTGTTGCTGCGGCTGATTCTTGGACAGCTGTTAGCCTCTGCGTATCATTGATTTGTGTCTCATGTTCTCTCCTGATCTGCTCCCCCTGCTGAGAAACAGAGTTGAGAAATAGAAATAAGAACTCTGAAGAAACACCATGACAGTGGTTCATTGTGCCACATTTACTCACAGATAAGGAACTTAGTCAGTGCAGTCTCCAGTCTATTTAAGAAAGTATTCACAACATATATATGTACTGCACATTTGAGTATTTCCCCACCTGTGACTGTTCTTGAGTTGTATGTTTGGACTTCAACCACCTGGAAGAGATAAAGAATATAACATATAACATCATGTAATAGATGTGGATATTAAATTGATTTGAGTTACTTACCAAGCAGCAACAGCAAAACAGATGAGTATCATGATCCCAATGATCCCCCCAACAACTCCCCCCCATGGTGAAGAGCCATCAGTTCCTACAGGAAAAAAACCATTTGTGGCTATAATCCAGATTTCATGTAGAGCTTGACTTCATACAGTATTTAGGAAACACAGACAATGATGAAGCTGTTGCAAAACTCAAAATGTTTTCTCAGTTGATGAAATTCTGTTTTTTATTTTCTCTCTTCCTCTTTTCACTTTCCTTTCCAATTACAAATCTCTTTTCGTCCTATTTTATGTGGCCTAATTTAATTAAATCCTAACTTATCATTTATAGACCACATTTTTCTATGTAAATATGTTTTTTAACTTCCAATCAAACTCATTATTCCCATTTTTGCATATATTTACATTGATGCATTAACTGCTTTATCCAACAATACCTGCTCCTATTTCACAAACGTTTGCAGTACATTTCTGTGTTTACCTCCGTTAGCCAGATGGATATTTTTTTCACTTTAGATGCCATTTCTCAAGAGTTTCGTGTAAAACGGTTTAGTAATATAAAAGTAATTTTTGGTTGTTGTAGTGTTCCTTTAAAGGTCATAGTTTGTGGGTCCAGTCCTGTTACCTTTAAGTTTAAGATGGATCATTGTTGACGTTCCATTACCAAGCCCATTTGTGGTTACGCAGTAATAACGTCCTCCCTCTGTGGCATTAAAGCTGTAAATCTCTCCCTGTGAGACGTTCATGACTCCTTCTTGGCTCTCCTTGAACCAGGTGAAGCTGCTGACGGGAGGCTGGGCTCTGCTGGAGCAGCTCAGCTCCACCCAGCTGCCCGCTGACACCAAAGAGGGCGGACTGACGGAGGCGGAGGTGTCCTTAGGAGCATCTGAGGAAAATGTGAGATTAACTTCATTCAAATCATACCATCATGTGCAGACAATCACAGGTTGTTCTTACATGAAACATGGAGAGTCTTTGTCTCCTCTGCTGTCTTCACATCTTTCCCTTGATTCACAGGATAGCTGGCAGAGCAGGTGATGTTGAATCCATCATGTTGGTCTGTCAGAGTGAGGGTCTTCTGGATCTTAGTCGTCAAGGTCCGATCTGGGTTTTCCTCCATTGTGTTGGGAGGGTCTTGTTGGAGAGTCCAGGTGAGTTTAGGAGGGGAGTGTGGACAGGGAGCTGGAGCTGAGCAGGTTACAGTGACAGACTCCGCCTCCTTCAGATCACCTGAGATCTCAATGGTGGGGCTCGGAGGAGAATCTGTGGTTTTACACATTTTAAATGTAAGGATACAGGCCAATACAGTTTTCAACAGTAATCAAAAAATGCACATCTTATTGTAAAACTTGAAAAGAAAGATTAGTCAGCTGCATCCTTAGTAGATGTTGTCATTCACCGGTCACCACATGAGACTCAAATCTGTGCATGTAGACGTGCATTATTTGTAATAGTAATGCATACAATATTATATACTGTAATATATTTGGATTTAGCAGGTTTCAGATATTATGACTTTTTGATTGTCTGAATAATTTCTGTAATAACTGATACATTTATTATCCTAGATGTATAATTTAACAATAAAGGTAAGACTACTACTCCAACAAAAAGTCTCTTACCTTTCACTGTTATTTGAAGAGGATCACATGCAGCTGTTGCCATAAATGGGCTGTTCTCAATCCTGAAGAAGTATTTGTCTGTGTGACTCTTTTTCAAACTAGAAAACAGAGTGGTGCAGTTTCCCTTTTTCAGGTTTCCTGTAATACTCATTGGATATCTGTTGATTGTCCCATCACTGTGGAAAATCACGTTCTTTGGTTTTTGGTCAAATGCGGACTCTTTTTTAATCCACACTCCGAAGATTGCTCGTGAGTTATCTGGGCCAGCGCTGAAGTTACACGGGATCAGCAAACAGGATCCACTCAGTGCTTCCATCTGCCTCGGGGTGGTGATGCGAAGGTGCTCACAAGAACCTTCAACAAGATGTGGGAGAAAATCTGCAGGAAGAAAAAAGAGCATATTAACAAACTGTGTCTTGTAAGCAAATTGTATACAAACTCAGGATGTGAACAAAGGAGTCATTCTGATATTTCTGCTTTTTCTAAGTAAAGATTGTAAACTATTAAAGTAACAAACATCTCACCTGAAACAAAGAGGACTAGCAGCAACATGTTGGTCACCATATTCAGGATTCTGGATTTACAAACAAAAGATCACTGTTACTTTTCATTTGTATTAATCATATATCGATTCAGTTTTTACAAAGTGCCTTTTAAAGCAACTTCCCTACTTCAAAGGCACCATAGAAACCTGCCCTGTACAACCAGTTAGTTTTTGACACTTTCAATTTAAATGCTTCTGCAGTATTATGCTTTGAAATAATTAACAGAAAATATAAAAAATACAATAAAAGACAGAGTTCAGTCAAATGTTTCCTTACCACATGAGCCCACAGCTAGAAAATAAGAAAACGTAAAGTGTTCTGGCTTGAGTCAAACCTTTTATGTTTAAGAGAACTGAACTAACCACGAGCCGCTGTAATCTAAAGAAAGATGATTTGCTGTTGAAGAAATGTTTCCCTTTTATGGAGGCAAAACGAGTAGAAATCACATGACTACATTTACTGCAGTTTTTACCAACGCTGCAGTTTTCCTGTGATAAAAGATGAACACCACCCTTAACAGAGGTAGAACAATGCACAATCATGTTTTTTTTTGTTAATTTAATGTTTAGTTTTTAAAGTGGATGGTTGTAAAAAATGTGGTTGATGTTTGGAACCCTTCCATAGCCGAAAACAGTGAAAATGTAGTCTTCTCCAAAGGGGGCCATGTATGACTTATCACATGTTTCTCTGGAAATATTGACCAGAATGCCATCACCTTTGAACTAGTCTGTCATTATTAAAACAATCACACACATATTTAATTCAAATGTACCAGAGATTGTTCTCTTCTTTCTTAAAAGTAGGAAGTAAGGAAGTGAGACATTTTTAGGTTTCAAAGGACATGAGTCATGCCGTGAACAAAAATAATGACATATTTCAAGAGCAGGAAATATTAACTTTATTTTATTCACAATGTTGATTCTTACCATTTTAATTATCAAAATGTATCATCATCAAAACAGTAACTTAGATATCTGATTGTATTTGTATGCATAACACTCAAAGCTTCTGCACAGAATTCTTTTTTAACCCCTGATGTGTTTTTAATTAACACAGTTCACATGCATCCAACAGAAATACAAGTTAAGCAATTACAAAATAAAAGAACAAAATAAAAATCATGTGCCATGATTACGTTTAACGTGAGACACATTAATGAAGAACTTTTTACTTTTGTGTACAGTACAAACAGTACAAACACTTCAACATGTTATTCACTAAGGTTTAGGGTCATATTTAAAGACCATAGTACCATTTAGTATTTACAGAAATCTGAATTTTAAGTGGCACACTAAGGCAAATAATTACGAAATACATTTTTTATCCTATACCAAAAATACCAAAAAATGTTGTAGAAAGCATTGAAATGATTCTCTTACCAAAATGTGCAATTCAGGAAGTAATGTAAGGTGTCCAACAAATGTTCTACAGTATTTAGTCTTGCGAGACAAAAGGAAGTGGACACACACAGCAGGCTTTTGTAGCTGCTAGTTGCCACCCTCATGACACATATTTCGTCTCTATGCTAATATCCTGTTTTATTTTCATCACACCACTCACTGTAATACTGTAAGTCACTCCTTCTTAATGTGGAACATATAAGGCAAATCAATACAGCATTTTCTTTCAGTAAAAGTGAACTGAACGTCTTCCTGCTCTCTTTGTGACTCAGGATGTTTGTAACTCGACCACACGGTTGACATAGTCTGCTTCTGCTGCGTCCTGAAAAATAAGAGGGGAGTTTACTGTAACTTAAGAGATTTAGTAACTGTAAAGATAAAAAATAGTTGCAACATGTCATTTGTGTAGCCACAGAATAACAGTTATGTCTCAGGACCTCACAACACCATACACTGTACAGCAGACGGAGCAATCAACCAAATAACTAAAAAGACCCTTTAAAGGTCACCTTTTAGGCAAAATTCACTTCTTCCTGTCTTTTATACATAAACATGTGTCCCCTCTGTGTTAAGAGACTCTGAAAGTTTCAGGAAAATAGATTCCCTCTCTTTTTGTCCTGATCCATTTATATAAAAACCTGTCTGAAAATGAGCTGATCACATTTTGGCCACTTTGTGATGTCATAATGTTTTTTTGGGTTGTACAACCATTAGCCAATCACCAACCAAGGTAACACCCCCCCCACCTGATCACCTGAATCTCCTCCTAGAGCACCATTGTGTTTGTTCAAACCAATCATCGCTCAGAGGGGCGTGGCCAGCAGCCGCTCATTAGCATTTAAAGCTACAGACACAGAATCAGCACTTTTGGAACAGGGCTGAAACAGAGAGGATTATGGGATGCTGCAATGATCTGTTTGGTATTTCAGCCAAACACTTCAGAGACATGTTTTGTGTATATCTGAGACCTATAATATATTGTTGAAAACGAGTGTGATAGGGGATTTTTAAAGAATAAGTTGAAATGTGCACACTACAACGCACACATATACACAATAATGTTTGCTATATCATCTTTACAAGGTGATACTACGTTAATGTTGTGTTAGAGCTTGTTGGACTGCACTCAAAATAAATGAATGCAGGTTTAAAGTTTGACTTGATTTTTATTGGGGAATACTTGTATTTGTCTATGATTATGCTTCTTGGTATTTATGTCTGATGTTCTGTTATCAGCAATCTGTGTTTTAATGGACCAATTCATATAATTGTTATTGCAAACATGTTACCTTTTACACTTCCATCAGACATGGAGCAACATTAGCCTTCATTTGGAGTCATACGTCTGATAACTGGAGAATATTCATCTAATATTTGTTGCTCCTAAGCTGCTAAACACTCCATTTGTCACCAGCTAACTTCTTACATCACAAGTCTGCGATATAAGGTAACATAACCAGATGTTTTAGTTATTTTCATTGCTTTAACCTGCTTCAAAATCAATAGTGAACATTCGTAAATGCCTGCATCCAGTTCTGATGTCTCAGTAGTGAGATGTGCTGCTTTGCATGTGATGTCACTACTGTTAAAAATTATAATCATTGGAGGATAATCCCTTCTTAATTAAGCACATCCAAATACAAGAAAAACTACAAATAAACCCTAGTTTATTAATACCTCTCCTCGTCTGGTGGATACCTCCTCTGGTTCAGAAGAGCGTCTTGATCTAAACCAGCTGGAGAAAAAAAGGAAAACATTTTTGTTTTGTTTATGTTGTGATAAACAACTTGTTTGCCAAATAGAATAATCACTGTGTAGTTGCATATGTCATATGACAGGAGAATTTGTCTCACCATTCAAAGATGACCATTGTACTGACGAGCATTATGATTCCCAGGATCTTCATTATCAAATGAACATCAACCGTCCCAATCTGTTGATCACCTGCAACCCAACAGCATGGTCAGATTCCACTCACTGGGAAACATGAGAACATCTCAAACCAGGACTCCTGCTACCTTCAAATATCAACGCACGTCCTTACGATAGTTTAATTACATTTATTTGACATGGAATTGTAGTTCAGTTTCATGTTTACCTCCGTTAGCCAGCTGGATCTTTGGTGATGTTTCTTTACCAAGAGCATTTGTGGCCACACAGTAATAACGTCCTCCCTCTGTGGCATTAAAGCTGTCAATCTCTCCCTGTGAGACCTTCATGTCTCCATCTTGGCTCTCCTTGAACCAGGTGAAGCTGCTGATGGGAGGCTGGGCTCTGCTGGAGCAGCTCAGCTTCACCCAGCTGCACGCTGACACCGAACCTGAGGGCGGATTGACGGAGGTGGAGGTGTCCTTAGGAGCATCTGAGGAAAATGTGAGATTAACTTCATTCAAATCATACCATCATGTGCAGACACTCACAGGTTGTTCTTACATGAAACATGGAGAGTCTTTGTCTCCTCTGCTGTCTTCACATCTTTCCCTTCATTCACAGGATAGCTGGCAGAGCAGGTGATGGTGAATCCATCATGTTGGTCTGTCAGAGTGAGGGTCTTCTGGATCTTAGTCGTGAAGGTCCGATCTGGGTTTTCCTCCATTGTGTTGGGAGGGTCTTGTTGGAGAGTCCAGGTGAGTTTAGGAGGGGAGTGTGGACAGGGAGCTGGAGCTGAGCAGGTTACAGTGACAGACTCCGCCTCCTTCAGATCACCTGGGATCTCAATGGTGGGGCTCGGAGGAGAATCTGTGGTTTAAAAAAAAAAATTGCTGATTTTAAGCTTAAAATAAATCAATATAAAATAGAGTCACTCAAAGAATGTTGACCAATATGGGTTTTTGTAGGCTGACACTGCTATTTCGTATGAAATCTTCAATGTCCTCGAATCCGTGAATATGGATTATGTTTACCGTGTGCCCCAGAAAATGTTGCTCAAACTCTTAAATATAATTCTCCATAACGTTTAACATCCTCAGAGGGTATTACTGTATTGCATTGCATTGCAAGGTTACAGACAGATAATATTGATAAAGGCCTGAATAACCATATTTAAGAGCTCTATATAAACATGCCATACTATTTATGCCAAAGATAGAACCATTTTCTTATTTGATGTAATAGATTACTGCATTTTGTTTGTATAAGTGTTGCCAGTGGTTTAAAGTAGACAGAGCTTATTTTTTTGTAAAGTGTATTTATTACTCATTAGGAAGTTATAAATACACGAGGGTTCCTTTTCCCAAATCTCCAATGCATTGTTATGTATGACTCTAAAAGTAAAATGGAAATAATATAGGATCAGATTTCTTTATTTAATATCCCAGCAGATTCAGTCATCTACGGCCTCAGCTGTATATCAGCATCCTCACACCATCCTTCAGCTCACTGTTCCTGTAAGTATAGCCCATATTCTAAACCTTAATATTTGAGATCGACTGAAAAAACAGAAAGAGTCTCTTACCTTTCACTGTTATTTGAAGAGGATCACATGCAGCTGTTGCCTTAAATGGGCTGTTCTCAATCCTGAAGAAGTATTTATCTGTGTGACTTTTTTTCAAACTAGAAAACAGAGTGGTGCAGTTTCTCTGTCTCAGGTTTCCTGTAATACTCATTGGATATCTGTTGATTTTCCCATCACTGCGGGAAATCACGTTTTCTTTATTTTGGCCAAATTTGGGGTATTTTTTAATCCACACTCCGAAGATTTCTCGTGAGCTGTTGAAGCCTCAGCTGGGTCAGCGCTGAAGATACACGGGATCAGCAAACAGGATCCACTCAGTGCCTCCATCTGCCTCGGGGTGGTGATGCGAAGGTGCTCACAAGCACCTTCAACAAGATGTGGGAGAAAATCTGCAGGAAGAAAAAAGAGCATATTAACAAACTGTGTCTTGTAAGCAAATTGTATACAAACTCAGGATGTGAACAAAGGAGTCATTCTGATATTTCTGCTTTTTCTAAGTAAAGATTGTAAACTATTAAAGTAGCAAACATCTCACCTGAAACAAAGAGGACTAGCAGCAACATGTTGGTCACCATATTCAGGATTCTGGATTTACAAACAAAAGAACACTGTTACTTTTCATTTGTATTAATCATATAACGTATTCACTTTTGACAAAGTGCCTTTTAAAGCAACTTCCCTACTTCAAAGGCACAATAGAAACTTGCCCTGTACAACCAGTTAGTTTTTGACACTTTCAATGTAAAGGCTTCTGCAGTATTATGCTTTGAAATAATTAACAGAAAATATAAAAAATACAATAAAAGACAGAGTTCAGTCAAATGTTTCCTTACCACATGAGCCCACAGCTAGAAAGTAAGAAAACGTAAAGTGTTCTGGCTTGAGTCAAACCTTTTTATGTTTAAGGGAACTGAACTAACCACGAGCCGCTGTAATCTAAAGAAAGATGATTTGCTGTTGAAGAAATGTTTCCCTTTTATGGAGGCAAAACGAGTAGAAATCACATCACTACATTTACTGCAGTTTTACCAACGCTGCACTTTTCCTGTGATAAAAGATGAACACCACCCTTAACAGAGGTAGAACAACGCACAATCATGTTTTGTTTTGTTAATTTAATGTTTAGTTTTTAAAGTGGATGGTTGTAAAAAATGTGGTTGATGTTTGGAACCCTTCCATAGCCGAAAACAGTGAAAATGTAGTCTTCTCCAAAGGGGGCCATGTATGCCTTATCACATGTTTCTCTGGAAATAGTGACCAGAATGCCATCACCTTTGAACTAGTCTGTCATTATTAAAACAATCACACACATATTTAATTCAAATGTACCAGAGATTGTTCTCTTCTTTCTTAAAAGTAGGAAGTAAGGAAGTGAGACATTTTTAGGTTTCAAAGGACATGAGTCATGCCGTGAACAAAAATAATGACATATTTCAAGAGCAGGAAATATTAACTTTATTTTATTCACAATGTTGATTCTTACCATTTTAATTATCAAAATGTCATCATCAAAACAGTAACTTAGATATCTGATTGTATTTGTATGCATAACACTCAAAGCTTCTGCACAGAATTCTTTTTTAACCCCTGATTTGTTTTTTATTTAACACAGTTCACATGCATCCAACAGAAATACAAGTTAAGCAATTACAAAATAAAAGAACAAAATAAAAATCATGTGCCATGATTACGTTTAACGTGAGACACATTAATGAAGAACTTTTTACTTTTGTGTACAGTACAAACAGTACAAACACTTCAACATGTTATTCACTAAGGTTTAGGGTCATATTTAAAGAACATGGAACCATTTAGTATTTACAGAAATCTGAATTTTAAGTGGCACACTAAGGCAAATAATTACGAAATACATTTTTTATCCTATACCAAAAATACCGAAAAATGTTGTAGAAAGCATTGAAATGATTCTCTTACCAAAATGTGCAATTCAGGAAGTAATGTAAGGTGTCCAACAAATGTTCTACAGTATTTAGTCTTGCGAGACAAAAGGAAGTGGACACACACAGCAGGCTTTTGTAGCTGCTAGTTGCCACCTCATGACACATATTTCGTCTCTATGCTAATATCCTGTTTTTATTTTCATCACACCACTCACTGTAATCCTGTAAGTCACTCCTTCTTAATGTGGAACATATAAGGCAAATCAATACAGCATTTTCCTTCAGTAAAAGTGAACTGAACGTCTTCCTGCTCTCTTTGTGACTCAGGATGTTTGTAACTCGACCACACGGTTGACATAGTCTGCTTCTGCTGCGTCCTGAAAAATAAGAGGGGAGTTTACAGTGACTTAAGAGATTTAGTAACTGTAAAGATAAAAAATAGTTGCAACATGTCATTTGTGTAGCCACAGAATAACAGTTATGTCTCAGGACCTCACAACACCATACACTGTACAGCAGACGGAGCAATCAACCAAATAACTAAAAAGACCCTTTAAAGGTCACCTTTTATGCAAAATCCACTTCTTCCTGTCTTTTATACATAAACATGTCTCTCTTCTGTGTTAAGAGACTCTGAACGTTTCAGGAAAATAGATTCCCTCTCTTTTGTCCTGATCCATTTATATAAAAACCTGTCTGAAAATGAGCTGATCACATTTTGGCCACTTTGTGATGTCATAATGTTTTTTTGGGTTGTACAACCATTAGCCAATCACCAACCAAGGTAACACCCCCCCCCACCTGATCACCTGAATCTCCTCCTAGAGCACCATTGTGTTTGTTCAAACCAATCATCGCTCAGAGGGGCGTGGCCAGCAGCCGCTCATTAGCATTTAAAGCTACAGACACAGAATCAGCACTTTTGGAACAGGGCTGAAACAGAGGGGATTATGGGATGCTGCAATGATCTGTTTGGTATTTCAGCCAAACACTTCAGAGACATGTTTTGTGTATATCTGAGACCTATAATATATTGTTGAAAACGAGTGTGATAGGGGATTTTTAAAGAATAAGTTGAAATGTGCACACTACAACGCACACATATAATGTTTGCTATATCATCTTTACAAGGTGATACTACGTTAATGTTGTGTTAGAGCTTGTTGGACTGCACTCAAAATAAATGAATGCAGGTTTAAAGTTTGACTTGATTTTTATTGGGGAACACTTGTATTTGTCTATGATTATGCTTTCTTGGTATTTATGTCTGATGTTCTGTTATCAGCAATCTGTGTTTTAATGGACCAATTCATATAATTGTTATAGCAAACATGTTACCTTTTTATACTTCCATCAGACATGGAGCAACATTAGCCTTCATTTGGAGTCATACGTCTGATAACTGGAGAATATTCATCTAATATGTGTTGCTCCTAAGCTGCTAAACACTCAATTTGTCACCAGCTAACTTTTTACATCACAAGGCTGCGGTATAAGGTAACATAACCAGATGTTTTAGTTATTTTCATTGCTTTAACCTGCTTCAAAATCAATAGTGAACATTCGTAAATGCCTGCACCCAGCTCTGATGTCTCAGTAGTGCGATGTGCTGCTTTGCATGTGATGTCACTACTGTTAAAAGTATAATCATTGGAGGATAATCCCTTCTTAATTAAGCACATCCTAACACAAGAAAAACTACAAATAAACCCTAGTTTATTAATACCTCTCCTCGTCTGGTGGATACCTCCTCTGGTTCAGAAGAGCGTCTTGATCTAAACCAGCTGGAGAAAAAGGAAAACATTTTGTTTTGTTTATGTTGTGATAAACAACTTGTTTGCCAAATAGAATAATCACTGTGTAGTTGCATATGTCATATGACAGGAGAATTTGTCTCACCATTCAAAGATGACCATTGTACTGACGAGCATTATGATTCCCAGGATCTTCAGTATCAAATGAACATCTAGGCCTACTGTCCCAATCTGTTGATCACCTGCAACCCAACAGCATGGTCAGATTCCACGCACTGGAAACATGAGAACATCTCAAACCAGGACTTCCTGCTGCTACCTTCAAATATCAACGCACGTCCTTACGATAGTTTTAATTACATTTATGTTGACATGGAATTGTAGTTACAGTTTCATGTTTACCTCCGTTAGCCAGCTGGATCTTTGGTGATGTTTCTTCACCAAGCCCATTTGTGGCCCACACAGTATAACGTCCTCCCTCTGTGCATCAAAGCTGTAAATCTCTCCCTGTGAGACGTTCATGTCTCCATCTTGGCTCTCCTTGAACCAGGTGAAGCTGCTGACGGGAGGCTGGGCTCTGCTGGAGCAGCTCAGCTTCACCCAGCTGCACGCTGACACCGAACCTGAGGGCGGACTGACGGAGGCGGAGGTGTCCTTAGGAGCATCTGAGGAAAATGTGAGATTAACTTCATTCAAATCATGCCATCATGTGCTGACAATCACAGGTTGTTCTTACATGAAACATGGAGAGTCTTTGTCTCCTCTGCTGTCTTAACATCTTTCCCTTCATTCACAGGATAGCTGGCAGAGCAGGTGATGTTTGAATCCATCATGTTGGTCTGTCAGAGTGAGGGTCTTCTGGATCTTAGTCGTGAAGGTCCGATCTGGGTTTTCCTCCATTGTGTTGGGAGGGTCTTGTTGGAGAGTCCAGGTGAGTTTAGGAGGGGAGTGTGGACAGGGAGGGCTGGAGCTGAGCAGGTACAGTGACAGACTCCGCCTCCTTCAGATCACCTGGGATCTCAATGGTGGGGGCTCGGAGGAGACGAATCTGTGGTTTAAAAAAATAAATAAACTGATTGTAAGCTTAAAATAAATCAATATAAAATAGAGTCACTCACAGAATGTTGACCAATATGGGTTTTTGTAGGCTGACACTGCTATTTCGTATGAAATCTTCAATGTTCCTCGAATCCGTGAATATGGATTCTATTTTACGTGTGCCCCAGAAAATGTTGCTCAATCTCTTAAATATAATTCTCCATAGTGTTTAACATCCTCAGAGGGTATTACTGTATTGCATTGCATTGCAAGGTTACAGACAGATAATATTGATAAAGGCCTGAATAACCATATTTAAGAGCCCTATTTAAACATGCCATACTATTTATGCCAAAGATAGAACCATTTTCTTATTTGATGTAATAGATTACTGCATTTTGTTTTTATAAGTGTTGCCAGTGGTTTAAAGTAGACAGAGCTTATTTTTTCGTGAAGTGTATTTATTACTCATTAGGAAGTTACAAATACACGAGGGTTCCTTTTCCAAATCTCCAATGCATTGTTATGTATGACTCTAAAAGTAAAATGGAAACAATAGGATCAGATTTATTATTTAATATCCAAGCAGATTCAGTCATCTACGGCCTCAGCTGTATATCAGCATCCTCACACCATCCTTCAGCTCACTGTTCCTGTAAGTATAGCCTCTATTCTAAAACCTTAATATTTGAGATCGACTGAAAAATAGAAAGAGTCTCTTACCTTTCACTGTTATTTGAAGAGGATCACATGCAGCTGTTGACATAAATGGGCTGTTTTCCATCTGAAGACAGTATTTGTCTGTGTGACTTTCTTCCCAAAGTAGAAAACAGAGTGGTGCAGTTTTCCCTGTCTCAGGTCTCCAGTAATACTCATTGGATATCTGTTGATTGTCCCATCACTGTGGAAAATCACGTTTTCTTTATTTTTTCCAAATGCAGGCTCTTCTTTAATCCACACTCCGAAGATTTCTCGTTCGCTGTTGAAGCCACATCTGGGCCAGCGCTGAAGATACACGGGATCAGCAAACAGGATCCACTCAGTGCTTCCATCTGCTTCGGGGTGGTGATGCGAAGTGCTCACAAGCACCTTCAACAAGATGTGGGAGAAAATCTGCAGGAAGAAAAAAGAGCATATTAACAAACTGTGTCTAGCAAATTGTATACAAACTCAGGATGTGAACAAAGGAGTCATTCTGGTATTTCTGCTTTTTATAAGTAAAGATTGTAAACTATTAAAGTAACAAACATCTCACCTGAAACAAAGAGGACTAGCAGCAACATGTTGGTCACCATATTCAGGATTCTGGATCTGCAAACACAAGATCACTGTTACTTTTCATTTGTGTTAATCATATATAACGTATTCAGTTTTTACAAAGTGCCTTTTCAAGCAACTTCCCTTCTTCAATGCACCACAGAAACTTGCCCTGTACAACCAGGGTTAGTTAGCAAGCAAGTTAGTTAGCAATTTGCATTTAAAGGCCTCTGCAGAGCTGTGCTTTAAAATAAATTACAAATACAATAGAAGAGTTCAGTAAAATGTTTCCTTACCACACGAGCCCACAGGGAACTGAACTAACCCCTAGCCGCTGTAATATAAAGAAAGAGGATTTGAGAAATGTTTCCCTTTTTTAGAGCCAAAACTGCTAGAAATAACATGACTACATTTACTGCAGTTTTTGTCAACGCTGCACTTTTCCTGTGATAAAAGGGGAACAAACCACCCCTAACCGAGGTAGAACAAAGCACAATCATGTGGATGGTTGTGTAAGAAATATTTTATTTACCATTTTGGTCCATAGCCAAAAATAGTGAAAATGTATTCTTCTCTTGTAGCTCTGTAAGTAATGATCAGAGAGTCAATACATTTGGACTGGATGTTAACAGAGACAATAAAGTAAAGTTTTCATCAATACCTTTTACTATCTTTGTTATACTCTGTATTTAAACACACATGAATAATAGGTGGAAAATAAATTGGCAATTAAAAATCCAAAAGGTATGTATTTACTTTTCTGTTATTCTGTTATTATTAAAGTAAGGAGCCAAATCACCAACTTCATTAATTATTAAGTACCAGAGACTGTTTCTTTTCTTAAAAGTAGGAAGGAAGTCAGTGTCATGTCTCGGAAACTTATTATGAAAGTTTATTCTTTATATTAGTTTTGTCATGTCCCGTTGTCCTGTGCCCTCTGTCTTATTGTGAAAAGTAATTCTCCCTCTCGTTTCAGAACTCCATGCTCCCCGCCCCTATGTGTCTCCTGTGTTCGTGATTGCTTACCCCGCCCTGATTGTTTCCACCTGTTCCCCTCACCTTGTGTGTATATTGTGTTAGTCCCCACCTGTCCAGTGCCAGTTCGTTTCTCATTCATGACTACGCTCAAGCCTGCTCCATGGTCGTATCCCGTTTCTCATGCTCCTGATATCTGCTGATAGTTTTTCCTCGAAAGAGTGATTTTGTGTTTCCTTTTTTGTTACTGTGCTTAAACCAGTAAAGTCTTTATTTTTGGATACCACCTGAGTCTGAGTTGTGCATTTGAGTTCATGCCACAAGTTCACCCCTTGACAGTCAGATGTTTAGGTTTCAAAGGACATGAGTCATGTCGTGAACAAAAATAATGACATATTTCAAGAGCAGGAAATATTAACTTTATTTTATTCAACAATGTTGATTCTTACCATTTTTAATTATCAAAATGTATCATCATCAAAACAGTAACTTAGATATCTGATTGTATTTGTATGCATAACACTCAAAGCTTCTGCACAGAATTCTTTTTCACCCCTGATTTGGTTTTTATTTAACACAGTTCCATGCAATCCAACAGAAATACAAGTTAAGCAATTAACAAAATAAAAGAACAAAATAAAAATCATGTGCCATGATTACGTTTACGTGAGACAAATTAATGAAGAACTTTTTACTTTTGTGTACAGTACAAACAGTACAAACACTTCAAACATGTTATTCACTAAGGTTAGGGTCATATTTAAAGACCATAGTACCATTTAGTATTTACAGAAATCTGAATTTTAGTTGGCACCACTCAGGCAAATCAATACGAAATAGATTATTTAATCCTATACCAAAAAATACCTGAAAAATGTTGTAGAAAGCATTGAAATTATTGTCTTACCAAAATGTGCAATTCAGGAAGTAATGTAAGGTGTCCAACAAATGTACTACAGTATTTAGTCTTGTAGAAAAAAGGACCCATATTTCGTCTCGGTGCTAATATCCTGTTTTTATTTTCATCACACCACTCACTGCAATCCTGTAAGCCACTCCTTCTTAATGTGGAACATATAAGGCAAATCAATACAGCATTTTCTTTCAGTAAAAGTGAACTGAACGTCTTCCTGCTCTCTTTGTGACTCAGGATGTTTGTAACTCGACCACACAGTTACATATCTGCTTCTGCTGCGTACTGAAAAATAAGAGGGGAGTTTACAGTAACTTAAAGAGATTCAGTATCTGTAAAGATTAAAAATAGTTGCAACATGTCATTTGTGTAGCCACAGAATAACAGTTATGTCTCAGGACCTCACAACACCATACACTGTACAGCAGACGGAGCAATCAACCAAATAACTAAAAAGACCCTTTAAAGGTCACCTTTTATGCAAAATCCACTTGTTCATGTCTTTATACATAAACATGTGTCCCCTCTGTGTTAAGAGATTCTGAAAGTTTCAGGAAAATAGATTCCCTCTCTTTTTGTCCTGATCCTTTATATAAAAACCTGTCTGAAAATGAGCTGATCAGATTTGGCCACTTTTTGATGTCATAATGGTTTTTTGGGTTGTACAACCACTAGCCAATAACCAACCAAGGTAACTCCCGCCGACCTTATCACCTGAATCTCCTCCAAGAACATTGTATTTGTTCAAACCAATCACTTCTCAGAGGGGCGTGGCCAGCAGCAGCTCATTAGCATTTAAAGCTACAGACACAGAATCAGCACTTTGGAACAGGGCTGAAACAGAGGGGTTTATGGGATGCTGGCAATTATCTGTTTGGTATTTCAGCCAAACACTTCAGAGACATGTTTTGTGTATATCTGAGACCTATAATATATTGTTGAAAAAGAGTATCATAGGGGATCTTTAAAGAATAAGTTGAAATGTGCACACTAAAAACGCACACATATACACAATAATGTTTGCTATATCATCTTTACAAGGTGATACTACGTTAATGTTGTGTTAGAGCTTGTTGGACTGCACTCAAAATAAATGAATGCAGGTTTAAAGTTTGACTTGATTTTTATTGGGGAATACTTATATTGTCTATGATTATGTTTTCTTGGTATTTATGTCTGATGTTCTGTTATCAGCAATCTGTGTTTTAATGGAACAATTCATATAATTGTTATTGCAAACATGTTACCTTTTTACACTTCCATCAGACATGGAGCAACATTAGCCTTCATTGGAGTCACACGTCTGATAACTGGAGAATATTCATCTAATATTTGTTGCTCATAAACTGCTAAACACTCCATTTGTCACCAGCTAACTTCTTACATCACAAGTCTGCGATATAAGGTAACATAACCAGGTGTTTTAGTTATTTTCATTGCTTTTAACCTGCTTCAAAATCAATAGTGAACATTCGTAAATGCCTGCACCCAGCTCTGATGTCTCAGTAGTGCGATGTGCTGCTTTGCATGTGATGTCACTACTGTTAAAAAGTATAATCATTGGAGGATAATCCCTTCTTAATTATGCACATCCTAACACAAGAAAAACTACAAATAAACCCTAGTTTATTGATCCCTAAGAACTCAATTAGGAATTATTTTCAGTTGGATTTTTTTGGTTGTCATGCAGGCAGTTAATGTGTCCATATGAAATACCTCTCCTCGTCTGGTGGATACCTCCTCTGGTTCAGAAGACCGTCTTGATCTAAACCAGCTGGGAAAAAAGGAAAACATTTTTTTTTTGTTTATGTTGTGATGATAATGATCTACAGCCACATATACAAATTAGTGTGTAGCTGCATATGTCATATCACAGGAGAATTTGTCTCACCATTCAAAGATGACCATTGTACTGACGAGCATTATGATTACCCAGGATCTTCAGTATCAAATTGAACATCAACCGTCTCAACCTGTTGATCACCTGCAACCCAACAGCATGGTCAGATTCCACTCACTGGGAAACATGAGAACATCTCAAACCAGGACTCCTCTGCTGCTACCTTCAAATATCAACGCACGTCCTTAGTTTAATTACATTTAATTACGTGTAATTTAACCCCGGGGATACTTCCTGTGTTTCAGCTCCACGCAGAAAGTCCTGCTGGTTTAGTGGTACCAGTGACCTACATTAAAAAAACATGAAGTACATGTGAAACATCAGAAATCCTTATTCTTCCCGCAGTGGGAACATTTACAGCAAAGTAGAAGAGTTACATATTATATAAAAAGGCAAGTTAAAAAATAAATGTAATAATAAATAAATAGACTATGGTAAAACAAATATGCAGCAGTGTCTAAAAATAATATATCACAATAAAAAAAAGAATACTGCAAAAAAACATTCTAGCTCTTTATGCAGGATACACATATATCATTATAATATTTTAAAATTGAAATATTATTAATTTGTGGCATTACATTATTTAAAATATGATATTCTTCTGTTTTTATCACTAATTCATGACTTATTTTAATGTAGTATTGTGTTATTGTGGATCAAATGTAAGATACTTTGTTTGCCACTGGGTAGATGAGTTGAATATTACAAATTCATATCACATCCTTTAAATAAAAGTAACTATAATGACATTAAATGAAGGGGACAGGACCCTACAATACACCACGGCGTTAGGACCTCCATGTGAGCAACAGTGACACCCAGTGGACACACTCTGTATTACATGATCTGTAATTGAAACATAAACACTGCAAACAGAACTCATGCCATGTCCTACATCCAGTGGTGTAAAGTAACTAAGTACATTTACTAAGTACTGCTTCACTTAAGTGCAATTTTGAGGTACTTGTATTTTGAGTATTTCAATTTTCTGCTACTTTATTACTTCTACTCCACTACAATTCAGAGGTCAATTGTGTACTTTTACTCCACTACATTTATTTAATACCTTTAGTTACCTTGCAGATTTGGATTCATGATGTGAAATATATTTACACATTTAGTCTTGTTTTTGTAAATTGTGTTTATTTGATGGATTCATTTTTATTAAGTAGCATACTGTACATTTGCACCTCTTTAACTTATAGCTTTGCATCTTCCTCTGTATCATTATAAAATAGGCAACAATACACATATTTAGCTATAATCAATTAATATTTTAACACTGTAAAAACTTCAACACCCCCCCAGCTGTCATCAGATGGTGATTAATACGATGCTAAATCTTGATTGGTGCACAGAAACAGGTGACATCATCTTTTTCCAACCTAAGCCACACCCACGTCAAACTAGTGAGAGCCTCCATGGAAAAAAGACTCATGTGAATTTCAACTGTTAAAAGTTATGTCAAAAAAAGATAAATAAATATATACATGCCTTCATAAATAATACATAGAATATGATGTAAATAATGCTACTTTCCAGTTTTTCCACCATATCAGTTGGGAAGTGTTTTAAGTATTATGTCAACTAAAACAAAAAATGTAATACTTGTTAGCTTATTTTTGTAAAATGATCTTTACACAAAAATATACACAAGTTATCCGATCATATCTCGAGAGAAAGGAACATATGGTAAACCAGATAATGAAGATATTTGTACTTCCTGTTTTATTCGTCATCGTCTAACTTTATATCTGATAGTCTGATGATGTTTATATGAACGGTCCAGCCAGAGATCAAGTAGCCCTACAACTCCCCTTTCTTTGTTTATTTCTATGAATAAATTGAACTCTTTTAGTAATACTAATGTAAATGTTGGGTTAAAAATGCAGTTTGTTGCATAGCAGGGCCTTTTATTAAAGCAATAAATAACATAAAAGCGCACTTTAAAAAAAGTCGAAATATGACACTTTAAATATATGGCAAAGAACTTCAAGGTTTGAAGCAAAAAGGTTTTTGTGGCAGAAAAAAACCCTGAAAATCTAAAAAAATACTTGTCTATACATTCATTTCCTTTTCACTTGAGCGTAGAGGTCCTCTAGTCTGTTTGCTGTCTCTGACACTTTGACCTCAGCGTACAGCGTGTCCTCCGTCTGTCCACCGTCCTGCTCTGAGACAGGGGGACTTATATTCCTCTGCTTGGAGAAGTCGATCTCTCCGTAGTGGATTTCTTCTCCTGTTTCTGTTGCTGCGGCTGATTCTTGGACAGCTGGTTAGCCTCTGCGTATCATTGATTTGTGTCCTCATGTTCTCTCCTGATCTGCTCCCCCTGCTGAGAAACAGAGTTGAGAAATAGAAATAAGAACTCTGATGAAACACCATGACAGTGGTTCATTGTGCCACATTTACTCACAGATAAGGAACTTAGTCAGTGCAGTCTCCAGTCTATTTAGAAAGTATTCACAACATATATATGTACTGCACATTTGAGTATTTCCCCCACCTGTGACTGTTCTTGAGTTGTATGTTTGGACTTCAACCACCTGGAAGAGATAAAGAATATATAACATATAACATCATGTAATAGATGTGGATATTAAATTGATTTGAGTTACTTACCAAGCAGCAACAGCAAAACAGATGAGTATCATGATCCCAATGATCCCCCCAACAACTCCCCCCCATGGTGAAGAGCCATCAGTTCTACAGGAAAAAAACCATTTGTGGCTATAATCCAGATTTCATGTAGAGCTTGACTTCATACAGTATTTAGGAAACACAGACAATGATGAAGCTGTTGCAAAACTCAAAATGTTTTCTCAGTTGATGAAATTCTGTTTTTTATTTTCCTCTCTTCCTCTTTTCACTTTCCTTTCCAATTACAAATCTCTTTTCGTCCTATTTTATGTGGCCTAATTTAATTAAATCCTAACTTATCATTTATAGACCACATTTTTCTATGTAAATATGTTTTTTAACTTCCAATCAAACTCATTATTCCCATTTTTGCATATATTTACATTGATGCATTAACTGCTTTATCCAACAATACCTGCTCCTATTTCACAAACGTTTGCAGTACATTTCTGTGTTTACCTCCGTTAGCCAGATGGATATTTTTTTCACTTTTAGATGCCATTTCTCAAGAGTTTCGTGTAAAACGGTTTAGTACTATAAAAGTAATTTTTGGTTGTTGTAGTGTTCCTTTAAAGGTCATAGTTTGTGGGTCCAGTCCTGTTACCTTTAAGTTTAAGATGGATCATTGTTGACGTTCCATTACCAAGCCCATTTGTGGTTACGCAGTAATAACGTCCTCCCTCTGTGGCATTAAAGCTGTAAATCTCTCCCTGTGAGACGTTCATGACTCCTTCTTGGCTCTCCTTGAACCAGGTGAAGCTGCTGACGGGAGGCTGGGCTCTGCTGGAGCAGCTCAGCTCCACCCAGCTGCCCGCTGACACCAAAGAGGGCGGACTGACGGAGGCGGAGGTGTCCTTAGGAGCATCTGAGGAAAATGTGAGATTAACTTCATTCAAATCATACCATCATGTGCAGACAATCACAGGTTGTTCTTACATGAAACATGGAGAGTCTTTGTCTCCTCTGCTGTCTTCACATCTTTCCCTTGATTCACAGGATAGCTGGCAGAGCAGGTGATGTTGAATCCATCATGTTGGTCTGTCAGAGTGAGGGTCTTCTGGATCTTAGTCGTCAAGGTCCGATCTGGGTTTTCCTCCATTGTGTTGGGAGGGTCTTGTTGGAGAGTCCAGGTGAGTTTAGGAGGGGAGTGTGGACAGGGAGCTGGAGCTGAGCAGGTTACAGTGACAGACTCCGCCTCCTTCAGATCACCTGAGATCTCAATGGTGGGGCTCGGAGGAGAATCTGTGGTTTTACACATTTTAAATGTAAGGATACAGGCCAATACAGTTTTCAACAGTAATCAAAAAATGCACATCTTATTGTAAAACTTGAAAAGAAAGATTAGTCAGCTGCATCCTTAGTAGATGTTGTCATTCACCGGTCACCACATGAGACTCAAATCTGTGCATGTAGACGTGCATTATTTGTAATAGTAATGCATACAATATTATATACTGTAATATATTTGGATTTAGCAGGTTTCAGATATTATGACTTTTTGATTGTCTGAATAATTTCTGTAATAACTGATACATTTATTATCCTAGATGTATAATTTAACAATAAAGGTAAGACTACTACTCCAACAAAAAGTCTCTTACCTTTCACTGTTATTTGAAGAGGATCACATGCAGCTGTTGCCATAAATGGGCTGTTCTCAATCCTGAAGAAGTATTTGTCTGTGTGACTCTTTTTCAAACTAGAAACAGAGTGGTGCAGTTTCCCTTTTTCAGGTTTCCTGTAATACTCATTGGATATCTGTTGATTGTCCCATCACTGTGGAAAATCACGTTCTTTGGTTTTTGGTCAAATGCGGACTCTTTTTTAATCCACACTCCGAAGATTGCTCGTGAGTTATCTGGGCCAGCGCTGAAGTTACACGGGATCAGCAAACAGGATCCACTCAGTGCTTCCATCTGCCTCGGGGGTGGTGATGCGAAGGTGCTCACAAGAACCTTCAACAAGATGTGGGAGAAAATCTGCAGGAAGAAAAAAGAGCATATTAACAAACTGTGTCTTGTAAGCAAATTGTATACAAACTCAGGATGTGAACAAAGGAGTCATTCTGATATTTCTGCTTTTTCTAAGTAAAGATTGTAAACTATTAAAGTAACAAACATCTCACCTGAAACAAAGAGGACTAGCAGCAACATGTTGGTCACCATATTCAGGATTCTGGATTTACAAACAAAAGATCACTGTTACTTTTCATTTGTATTAATCATATATCGATTCAGTTTTTACAAAGTGCCTTTTAAAGCAACTTCCCTACTTCAAAGGCACCATAGAAACCTGCCCTGTACAACCAGTTAGTTTTTGACACTTTCAATTTAAATGCTTCTGCAGTATTATGCTTTGAAATAATTAACAGAAAATATAAAAAATACAATAAAAGACAGAGTTCAGTCAAATGTTTCCTTACCACATGAGCCCACAGCTAGAAAATAAGAAAACGTAAAGTGTTCTGGCTTGAGTCAAACCTTTTTATGTTTAAGAGAACTGAACTAACCACGAGCCGCTGTAATCTAAAGAAAGATGATTTGCTGTTGAAGAAATGTTTCCCTTTTATGGAGGCAAAACGAGTAGAAATCACATGACTACATTTACTGCAGTTTTTACCAACGCTGCAGTTTTCCTGTGATAAAAGATGAACACCACCCTTAACAGAGGTAGAACAATGCACAATCATGTTTTTTTTTGTTAATTTAATGTTTAGTTTTTAAAGTGGATGGTTGTAAAAAATGTGGTTGATGTTTGGAACCCTTCCATAGCCGAAAACAGTGAAAATGTAGTCTTCTCCAAAGGGGGCCATGTATGACTTATCACATGTTTCTCTGGAAATATTGACCAGAATGCCATCACCTTTGAACTAGTCTGTCATTATTAAAACAATCACACACATATTTAATTCAAATGTACCAGAGATTGTTCTCTTCTTTCTTAAAAGTAGGAAGTAAGGAAGTGAGACATTTTTAGGTTTCAAAGGACATGAGTCATGCCGTGAACAAAAATAATGACATATTTCAAGAGCAGGAAATATTAACTTTATTTTATTCACAATGTTGATTCTTACCATTTTAATTATCAAAATGTATCATCATCAAAACAGTAACTTAGATATCTGATTGTATTTGTATGCATAACACTCAAAGCTTCTGCACAGAATTCTTTTTTAACCCCTGATGTGTTTTTTAATTAACACAGTTCACATGCATCCAACAGAAATACAAGTTAAGCAATTACAAAATAAAAGAACAAAATAAAAATCATGTGCCATGATTACGTTTAACGTGAGACAAATTAATGAAGAACTTTTTACTTTTGTGTACAGTACAAACAGTACAAACACTTCAACATGTTATTCACTAAGGTTTAGGGTCATATTTAAAGACCATAGTACCATTTAGTATTTACAGAAATCTGAATTTTAAGTGGCACACTAAGGCAAATAATTACGAAATACATTTTTTATCCTATACCAAAAATACCAAAAAATGTTGTAGAAAGCATTGAAATGATTCTCTTACCAAAATGTGCAATTCAGGAAGTAATGTAAGGTGTCCAACAAATGTTCTACAGTATTTAGTCTTGCGAGACAAAGGAAGTGGACACACACAGCAGGCTTTTGTAGCTGCTAGTTGCCACCTCATGACACATATTTCGTCTCTATGCTAATATCCTGTTTTTATTTTCATCACACCACTCACTGTAATACTGTAAGTCACTCCTTCTTAATGTGGAACATATAAGGCAAATCAATACAGCATTTTCTTTCAGTAAAAGTGAACTGAACGTCTTCCTGCTCTCTTTGTGACTCAGGATGTTTGTAACTCGACCACACGGTTGACATAGTCTGCTTCTGCTGCGTCCTGAAAAATAAGAGGGGAGTTTACTGTAACTTAAGAGATTTAGTAACTGTAAAGATAAAAATAGTTGCAACATGTCATTTGTGTAGCCACAGAATAACAGTTATGTCTCAGGACCTCACAACACCATACACTGTACAGCAGACGGAGCAATCAACCAAATAACTAAAAAGACCCTTTAAAGGTCACCTTTTAGGCAAAATTCACTTCTTCCTGTCTTTTATACATAAACATGTGTCCCCTCTGTGTTAAGAGACTCTGAAAGTTTCAGGAAAATAGATTCCCTCTCTTTTTGTCCTGATCCATTTATATAAAAACCTGTCTGAAAATGAGCTGATCACATTTTGGCCACTTTGTGATGTCATAATGTTTTTTTGGGTTGTACAACCATTAGCCAATCACCAACCAAGGTAACACCCCCCCCACCTGATCACCTGAATCTCCTCCTAGAGCACCATTGTGTTTGTTCAAACCAATCATCGCTCAGAGGGGCGTGGCCAGCAGCCGCTCATTAGCATTTAAAGCTACAGACACAGAATCAGCACTTTTGGAACAGGGCTGAAACAGAGAGGATTATGGGATGCTGCAATGATCTGTTTGGTATTTCAGCCAAACACTTCAGAGACATGTTTTGTGTATATCTGAGACCTATAATATATTGTTGAAAACGAGTGTGATAGGGGATTTTTAAAGAATAAGTTGAAATGTGCACACTACAACGCACACATATACACAATAATGTTTGCTATATCATCTTTACAAGGTGATACTACGTTAATGTTGTGTTAGAGCTTGTTGGACTGCACTCAAAATAAATGAATGCAGGTTTAAAGTTTGACTTGATTTTTATTGGGGAATACTTGTATTTGTCTATGATTATGCTTTCTTGGTATTTATGTCTGATGTTCTGTTATCAGCAATCTGTGTTTTAATGGACCAATTCATATAATTGTTATTGCAAACATGTTACCTTTTTACACTTCCATCAGACATGGAGCAACATTAGCCTTCATTTGGAGTCATACGTCTGATAACTGGAGAATATTCATCTAATATTTGTTGCTCCTAAGCTGCTAAACACTCCATTTGTCACCAGCTAACTTCTTACATCACAAGTCTGCGATATAAGGTAACATAACCAGATGTTTTAGTTATTTTCATTGCTTTAACCTGCTTCAAAATCAATAGTGAACATTCGTAAATGCCTGCATCCAGTTCTGATGTCTCAGTAGTGAGATGTGCTGCTTTGCATGTGATGTCACTACTGTTAAAAATTATAATCATTGGAGGATAATCCCTTCTTAATTAAGCACATCCAAATACAAGAAAAACTACAAATAAACCCTAGTTTATTAATACCTCTCCTCGTCTGGTGGATACCTCCTCTGGTTCAGAAGAGCGTCTTGATCTAAACCAGCTGGAGAAAAAAAGGAAAACATTTTTGTTTTGTTTATGTTGTGATAAACAACTTGTTTGCCAAATAGAATAATCACTGTGTAGTTGCATATGTCATATGACAGGAGAATTTGTCTCACCATTCAAAGATGACCATTGTACTGACGAGCATTATGATTCCCAGGATCTTCATTATCAAATGAACATCAACCGTCCCAATCTGTTGATCACCTGCAACCCAACAGCATGGTCAGATTCCACTCACTGGGAAACATGAGAACATCTCAAACCAGGACTCCTGCTACCTTCAAATATCAACGCACGTCCTTACGATAGTTTAATTACATTTATTTGACATGGAATTGTAGTTCAGTTTCATGTTTACCTCCGTTAGCCAGCTGGATCTTTGGTGATGTTTCTTTACCAAGAGCATTTGTGGCCACACAGTAATAACGTCCTCCCTCTGTGGCATTAAAGCTGTCAATCTCTCCCTGTGAGACCTTCATGTCTCCATCTTGGCTCTCCTTGAACCAGGTGAAGCTGCTGATGGGAGGCTGGGCTCTGCTGGAGCAGCTCAGCTTCACCCAGCTGCACGCTGACACCGAACCTGAGGGCGGATTGACGGAGGTGGAGGTGTCCTTAGGAGCATCTGAGGAAAATGTGAGATTAACTTCATTCAAATCATACCATCATGTGCAGACACTCACAGGTTGTTCTTACATGAAACATGGAGAGTCTTTGTCTCCTCTGCTGTCTTCACATCTTTCCCTTCATTCACAGGATAGCTGGCAGAGCAGGTGATGGTGAATCCATCATGTTGGTCTGTCAGAGTGAGGGTCTTCTGGATCTTAGTCGTGAAGGTCCGATCTGGGTTTTCCTCCATTGTGTTGGGAGGGTCTTGTTGGAGAGTCCAGGTGAGTTTAGGAGGGGAGTGTGGACAGGGAGCTGGAGCTGAGCAGGTTACAGTGACAGACTCCGCCTCCTTCAGATCACCTGGGATCTCAATGGTGGGGCTCGGAGGAGAATCTGTGGTTTAAAAAAAAAAATTGCTGATTTTAAGCTTAAAATAAATCAATATAAAATAGAGTCACTCAAAGAATGTTGACCAATATGGGTTTTTGTAGGCTGACACTGCTATTTCGTATGAAATCTTCAATGTCCTCGAATCCGTGAATATGGATTATGTTTACCGTGTGCCCCAGAAAATGTTGCTCAAACTCTTAAATATAATTCTCCATAACGTTTAACATCCTCAGAGGGTATTACTGTATTGCATTGCATTGCAAGGTTACAGACAGATAATATTGATAAAGGCCTGAATAACCATATTTAAGAGCTCTATATAAACATGCCATACTATTTATGCCAAAGATAGAACCATTTTCTTATTTGATGTAATAGATTACTGCATTTTGTTTGTATAAGTGTTGCCAGTGGTTTAAAGTAGACAGAGCTTATTTTTTTGTAAAGTGTATTTATTACTCATTAGGAAGTTATAAATACACGAGGGTTCCTTTTCCCAAATCTCCAATGCATTGTTATGTATGACTCTAAAAGTAAAATGGAAATAATATAGGATCAGATTTCTTTATTTAATATCCCAGCAGATTCAGTCATCTACGGCCTCAGCTGTATATCAGCATCCTCACACCATCCTTCAGCTCACTGTTCCTGTAAGTATAGCCCATATTCTAAACCTTAATATTTGAGATCGACTGAAAAAACAGAAAGAGTCTCTTACCTTTCACTGTTATTTGAAGAGGATCACATGCAGCTGTTGCCTTAAATGGGCTGTTCTCAATCCTGAAGAAGTATTTATCTGTGTGACTTTTTTTCAAACTAGAAAACAGAGTGGTGCAGTTTCTCTGTCTCAGGTTTCCTGTAATACTCATTGGATATCTGTTGATTTTCCCATCACTGCGGGAAATCACGTTTTCTTTATTTTGGCCAAATTTGGGGTATTTTTTAATCCACACTCCGAAGATTTCTCGTGAGCTGTTGAAGCCCTCAGCTGGGTCAGCGCTGAAGATACACGGGATCAGCAAACAGGATCCACTCAGTGCCTCCATCTGCCTCGGGGTGGTGATGCGAAGGTGCTCACAAGCACCTTCAACAAGATGTGGGAGAAAATCTGCAGGAAGAAAAAAGAGCATATTAACAAACTGTGTCTTGTAAGCAAATTGTATACAAACTCAGGATGTGAACAAAGGAGTCATTCTGATATTTCTGCTTTTTCTAAGTAAAGATTGTAAACTATTAAAGTAGCAAACATCTCACCTGAAACAAAGAGGACTAGCAGCAACATGTTGGTCACCATATTCAGGATTCTGGATTTACAAACAAAAGAACACTGTTACTTTTCATTTGTATTAATCATATAACGTATTCACTTTTGACAAAGTGCCTTTTAAAGCAACTTCCCTACTTCAAAGGCACAATAGAAACTTGCCCTGTACAACCAGTTAGTTTTTGACACTTTCAATGTAAAGGCTTCTGCAGTATTATGCTTTGAAATAATTAACAGAAAATATAAAAAATACAATAAAAGACAGAGTTCAGTCAAATGTTTCCTTACCACATGAGCCCACAGCTAGAAAGTAAGAAAACGTAAAGTGTTCTGGCTTGAGTCAAACCTTTTTATGTTTAAGGGAACTGAACTAACCACGAGCCGCTGTAATCTAAAGAAAGATGATTTGCTGTTGAAGAAATGTTTCCCTTTTATGGAGGCAAAACGAGTAGAAATCACATCACTACATTTACTGCAGTTTTTACCAACGCTGCACTTTTCCTGTGATAAAAGATGAACACCACCCTTAACAGAGGTAGAACAACGCACAATCATGTTTTGTTTTGTTAATTTAATGTTTAGTTTTTAAAGTGGATGGTTGTAAAAAATGTGGTTGATGTTTGGAACCCTTCCATAGCCGAAAACAGTGAAAATGTAGTCTTCTCCAAAGGGGGCCATGTATGCCTTATCACATGTTTCTCTGGAAATAGTGACCAGAATGCCATCACCTTTGAACTAGTCTGTCATTATTAAAACAATCACACACATATTTAATTCAAATGTACCAGAGATTGTTCTCTTCTTTCTTAAAAGTAGGAAGTAAGGAAGTGAGACATTTTTAGGTTTCAAAGGACATGAGTCATGCCGTGAACAAAAATAATGACATATTTCAAGAGCAGGAAATATTAACTTTATTTTATTCACAATGTTGATTCTTACCATTTTAATTATCAAAATGTCATCATCAAAACAGTAACTTAGATATCTGATTGTATTTGTATGCATAACACTCAAAGCTTCTGCACAGAATTCTTTTTTAACCCCTGATTTGTTTTTTATTTAACACAGTTCACATGCATCCAACAGAAATACAAGTTAAGCAATTACAAAATAAAAGAACAAAATAAAAATCATGTGCCATGATTACGTTTAACGTGAGACACATTAATGAAGAACTTTTTACTTTTGTGTACAGTACAAACAGTACAAACACTTCAACATGTTATTCACTAAGGTTTAGGGTCATATTTAAAGAACATGGAACCATTTAGTATTTACAGAAATCTGAATTTTAAGTGGCACACTAAGGCAAATAATTACGAAATACATTTTTTATCCTATACCAAAAATACCGAAAAATGTTGTAGAAAGCATTGAAATGATTCTCTTACCAAAATGTGCAATTCAGGAAGTAATGTAAGGTGTCCAACAAATGTTCTACAGTATTTAGTCTTGCGAGACAAAAGGAAGTGGACACACACAGCAGGCTTTTGTAGCTGCTAGTTGCCACCTCATGACACATATTTCGTCTCTATGCTAATATCCTGTTTTTATTTTCATCACACCACTCACTGTAATCCTGTAAGTCACTCCTTCTTAATGTGGAACATATAAGGCAAATCAATACAGCATTTTCCTTCAGTAAAAGTGAACTGAACGTCTTCCTGCTCTCTTTGTGACTCAGGATGTTTGTAACTCGACCACACGGTTGACATAGTCTGCTTCTGCTGCGTCCTGAAAAATAAGAGGGGAGTTTACAGTGACTTAAGAGATTTAGTAACTGTAAAGATAAAAAATAGTTGCAACATGTCATTTGTGTAGCCACAGAATAACAGTTATGTCTCAGGACCTCACAACACCATACACTGTACAGCAGACGGAGCAATCAACCAAATAACTAAAAAGACCCTTTAAAGGTCACCTTTTATGCAAAATCCACTTCTTCCTGTCTTTTATACATAAACATGTCTCTCTTCTGTGTTAAGAGACTCTGAACGTTTCAGGAAAATAGATTCCCTCTCTTTTTGTCCTGATCCATTTATATAAAAACCTGTCTGAAAATGAGCTGATCACATTTTGGCCACTTTGTGATGTCATAATGTTTTTTTGGGTTGTACAACCATTAGCCAATCACCAACCAAGGTAACACCCCCCCCCACCTGATCACCTGAATCTCCTCCTAGAGCACCATTGTGTTTGTTCAAACCAATCATCGCTCAGAGGGGCGTGGCCAGCAGCCGCTCATTAGCATTTAAAGCTACAGACACAGAATCAGCACTTTTGGAACAGGGCTGAAACAGAGGGGATTATGGGATGCTGCAATGATCTGTTTGGTATTTCAGCCAAACACTTCAGAGACATGTTTTGTGTATATCTGAGACCTATAATATATTGTTGAAAACGAGTGTGATAGGGGATTTTTAAAGAATAAGTTGAAATGTGCACACTACAACGCACACATATAATGTTTGCTATATCATCTTTACAAGGTGATACTACGTTAATGTTGTGTTAGAGCTTGTTGGACTGCACTCAAAATAAATGAATGCAGGTTTAAAGTTTGACTTGATTTTTATTGGGGAACACTTGTATTTGTCTATGATTATGCTTTCTTGGTATTTATGTCTGATGTTCTGTTATCAGCAATCTGTGTTTTAATGGACCAATTCATATAATTGTTATAGCAAACATGTTACCTTTTTATACTTCCATCAGACATGGAGCAACATTAGCCTTCATTTGGAGTCATACGTCTGATAACTGGAGAATATTCATCTAATATGTGTTGCTCCTAAGCTGCTAAACACTCAATTTGTCACCAGCTAACTTTTTACATCACAAGGCTGCGGTATAAGGTAACATAACCAGATGTTTTAGTTATTTTCATTGCTTTAACCTGCTTCAAAATCAATAGTGAACATTCGTAAATGCCTGCACCCAGCTCTGATGTCTCAGTAGTGCGATGTGCTGCTTTGCATGTGATGTCACTACTGTTAAAAAGTATAATCATTGGAGGATAATCCCTTCTTAATTAAGCACATCCTAACACAAGAAAAACTACAAATAAACCCTAGTTTATTAATACCTCTCCTCGTCTGGTGGATACCTCCTCTGGTTCAGAAGAGCGTCTTGATCTAAACCAGCTGGAGAAAAAGGAAAACATTTTGTTTTGTTTATGTTGTGATAAACAACTTGTTTGCCAAATAGAATAATCACTGTGTAGTTGCATATGTCATATGACAGGAGAATTTGTCTCACCATTCAAAGATGACCATTGTACTGACGAGCATTATGATTCCCAGGATCTTCAGTATCAAATGAACATCTAGGCCTACTGTCCCAATCTGTTGATCACCTGCAACCCAACAGCATGGTCAGATTCCACTCACTGGGAAACATGAGAACATCTCAAACCAGGACTCCTGCTGCTACCTTCAAATATCAACGCACGTCCTTACGATAGTTTAATTACATTTATTTGACATGGAATTGTAGTTCAGTTTCATGTTTACCTCCGTTAGCCAGCTGGATCTTTGGTGATGTTTCTTCACCAAGCCCATTTGTGGCCACACAGTAATAACGTCCTCCCTCTGTGGCATCAAAGCTGTAAATCTCTCCCTGTGAGACGTTCATGTCTCCATCTTGGCTCTCCTTGAACCAGGTGAAGCTGCTGACGGGAGGCTGGGCTCTGCTGGAGCAGCTCAGCTTCACCCAGCTGCACGCTGACACCGAACCTGAGGGCGGACTGACGGAGGCGGAGGTGTCCTTAGGAGCATCTGAGGAAAATGTGAGATTAACTTCATTCAAATCATGCCATCATGTGCTGACAATCACAGGTTGTTCTTACATGAAACATGGAGAGTCTTTGTCTCCTCTGCTGTCTTAACATCTTTCCCTTCATTCACAGGATAGCTGGCAGAGCAGGTGATGTTGAATCCATCATGTTGGTCTGTCAGAGTGAGGGTCTTCTGGATCTTAGTCGTGAAGGTCCGATCTGGGTTTTCCTCCATTGTGTTGGGAGGGTCTTGTTGGAGAGTCCAGGTGAGTTTAGGAGGGGAGTGTGGACAGGGAGCTGGAGCTGAGCAGGTTACAGTGACAGACTCCGCCTCCTTCAGATCACCTGGGATCTCAATGGTGGGGCTCGGAGGAGAATCTGTGGTTTAAAAAAATAAATAAACTGATTGTAAGCTTAAAATAAATCAATATAAAATAGAGTCACTCACAGAATGTTGACCAATATGGGTTTTTGTAGGCTGACACTGCTATTTCGTATGAAATCTTCAATGTCCTCGAATCCGTGAATATGGATTTATTTTACCGTGTGCCCCAGAAAATGTTGCTCAAACTCTTAAATATAATTCTCCATAGTGTTTAACATCCTCAGAGGGTATTACTGTATTGCATTGCATTGCAAGGTTACAGACAGATAATATTGATAAAGGCCTGAATAACCATATTTAAGAGCCCTATTTAAACATGCCATACTATTTATGCCAAAGATAGAACCATTTTCTTATTTGATGTAATAGATTACTGCATTTTGTTTTTATAAGTGTTGCCAGTGGTTTAAAGTAGACAGAGCTTATTTTTTCGTGAAGTGTATTTATTACTCATTAGGAAGTTACAAATACACGAGGGTTCCTTTTCCCAAATCTCCAATGCATTGTTATGTATGACTCTAAAAGTAAAATGGAAACAATAGGATCAGATTTATTTATTTAATATCCAAGCAGATTCAGTCATCTACGGCCTCAGCTGTATATCAGCATCCTCACACCATCCTTCAGCTCACTGTTCCTGTAAGTATAGCCTCTATTCTAAACCTTAATATTTGAGATCGACTGAAAAATAGAAAGAGTCTCTTACCTTTCACTGTTATTTGAAGAGGATCACATGCAGCTGTTGACATAAATGGGCTGTTCTCAATTCTGAAGAAGTATTTGTCTGTGTGACTTTCTTCCAAAGTAGAAAACAGAGTGGTGCAGTTTCCCTGTCTCAGGTCTCCAGTAATACTCATTGGATATCTGTTGATTGTCCCATCACTGTGGAAAATCACGTTTTCTTTATTTTTGCCAAATGCAGGCTCTTCTTTAATCCACACTCCGAAGATTTCTCGTTCGCTGTTGAAGCCCACATCTGGGCCAGCGCTGAAGATACACGGGATCAGCAAACAGGATCCACTCAGTGCTTCCATCTGCTTCGGGGTGGTGATGCGAAGGTGCTCACAAGCACCTTCGACAAGATGTGGGAGAAAATCTGCAGGAAGAAAAAAGAGCATATTAACAAACTGTGTCTAGCAAATTGTATACAAACTCAGGATGTGAACAAAGGAGTCATTCTGGTATTTCTGCTTTTTATAAGTAAAGATTGTAAACTATTAAAGTAACAAACATCTCACCTGAAACAAAGAGGACTAGCAGCAACATGTTGGTCACCATATTCAGGATTCTGGATCTGCAAACACAAGATCACTGTTACTTTTCATTTGTGTTAATCATATATAACGTATTCAGTTTTTACAAAGTGCCTTTTCAAGCAACTTCCCTTCTTCAATGCACCACAGAAACTTGCCCTGTACAACCAGGGTTAGTTAGCAAGCAAGTTAGTTAGCAATTTGCATTTAAAGGCCTCTGCAGAGCTGTGCTTTAAAATAAATATTACAAATACAATAGAAGAGTTCAGTAAAATGTTTCCTTACCACACGAGCCCACAGGGAACTGAACTAACCCCTAGCCGCTGTAATATAAAGAAAGAGGATTTGAGAAATGTTTCCCTTTTTTAGAGCCAAAACTGCTAGAAATAACATGACTACATTTACTGCAGTTTTTGTCAACGCTGCACTTTTCCTGTGATAAAAGGGGAACAAACCACCCCTAACCGAGGTAGAACAAAGCACAATCATGTGGATGGTTGTGTAAGAAATATTTTATTTACCATTTTGGTCCATAGCCAAAAATAGTGAAAATGTATTCTTCTCTTGTAGCTCTGTAAGTAATGATCAGAGAGTCAATACATTTGGACTGGATGTTAACAGAGACAATAAAGTAAAGTTTTCATCAATACCTTTTACTATCTTTGTTATACTCTGTATTTAAACACACATGAATAATAGGTGGAAAATAAATTGGCAATTAAAAATCCAAAAGGTATGTATTTACTTTTCTGTTATTCTGTTATTATTAAAGTAAGGAGCCAAATCACCAACTTCATTAATTATTAAGTACCAGAGACTGTTCTCTTTTCTTAAAAGTAGGAAGGAAGTCAGTGTCATGTCTCGGAAACTTATTATGAAAGTTTATTCTTTATATTAGTTTTGTCATGTCCCGTTGTCCTGTGCCCTCTGTCTTATTGTGAAAAGTAATTCTCCCTCTCGTTTCAGAACTCCATGCTCCCCGCCCCTATGTGTCTCCTGTGTTCGTGATTGCTTACCCCGCCCTGATTGTTTCCACCTGTTCCCCTCACCTTGTGTGTATATTGTGTTAGTCCCCACCTGTCCAGTGCCAGTTCGTTTCTCATTCATGACTACGCTCAAGCCTGCTCCATGGTCGTATCCCGTTTCTCATGCTCCTGATATCTGCTGATAGTTTTTCCTCGAAAGAGTGATTTTGTGTTTCCTTGTTTTGTTACTGTGCTTAAACCAGTAAAGTCTTTATTTTTGGATACCACCTGAGTCTGAGTTGTGCATTTGAGTTCATGCCACAAAGTTCACCCCTTGACAGTCAGATGTTTAGGTTTCAAAGGACATGAGTCATGTCGTGAACAAAAATAATGACATATTTCAAGAGCAGGAAATATTAACTTTATTTTATCCACAATGTTGGTGCTTACCATTTTAATTATCACATTTTATCATCATCAACACAGTAACTTAGATATCTGAATGTATTTGTATGCATAACATTCAAAGCTTCTGCACAGAATTCTTTTTTAACCCCTGATGTGTTTTTATTTAACACAGTTCACATGCATCCAACAGAAATACAAGTTAAGCAATTACAAAGTAAAAGAACAAAATAAAAATCATGTGCCATGATTACGTTTAACGTGAGACAAATTAATGAAGAACTTTTTACTTTTGTGTGTATTTAATGGAGACAAAGAGCAGGACACACTTCAACATGTTATTCACTGGTTTAGGGTCATATTTAAAGACCATAGTACCATTTAGTATTTACAGAAATCTGAATTTTAAGTGGCACGATAAGTCAAATAATTACGAAATACATTTTTTATCCTAAACCAAAAATACCGAAAAATGTTGTAGAAAGCATTGAAATGATTGTCTTACCAAAATGTGCAATTCAGGAAGTAATGTAAGGTGTCCAACAAATGTTCTACAGTATTTAGTCTTGTAGAAAAAAGGACCCATATTTCGTCTCGGTGCTAATATCCTGTTTTTATTTTCATCACACCTCTCACTGCAATCCTGTAAGCCACTCCTTCTTAATGTGGAACATATAAGGCAAATCAATACAGCATTTTCTTTCAGTAAAAGTGAACTGAACGTCTTCCTGCTCTCTTTGTGACTCAGGATGTTTGTAACTCGACCACACAGTTGACATAGTCTGCTTCTGCTGCGTCCTGAAAAATAAGAGGGGAGTTTACTGTAACTTAAGAGATTCAGTATCTGTAAAGATTAAAAATAGTTGCAACATGTCATTTGTGTAGCCACAGAATAACAGTTATGTCTCAGGACCTCACAACACCATACACTGTACAGCAGACGGAGCAATCAACCAAATAACTAAAAAGACCCTTTAAAGGTCACCTTTTATGCAAAATCCACTTGTTCATGTCTTTTATACATAAACATGTGTCCCCTCTGTGTTAAGAGATTCTGAAGTTTCAGGAAAATAGATTCCCTCTCTTTTTGTCCTGATCCATTTATATAAAAACCTGTCTGAAAATGAGCTGATCAGATTTTGGCCACTTTGTGATGTCATAATGTTTTTTTGGGTTGTACAACCACTAGCCAATAACCAACCAAGGTAACTCCCGCCGACCTTATCACCTGAATCTCCTCCAAGAACATTGTATTTGTTCAAACCAATCACTTCTCAGAGGGGCGTGGCCAGCAGCAGCTCATTAGCATTTAAAGCTACAGACACAGAATCAGCACTTTTGGAACAGGGCTGAAACAGAGGGGTTTATGGGATGCTGCAATGATCTGTTTGGTATTTCAGCCAAACACTTCAGAGACATGTTTTGTGTATATCTGAGACCTATAATATATTGTTGAAAAAGAGTATCATAGGGGATCTTTAAAGAATAAGTTGAAATGTGCACACTAAAACGCACACATATACACAATAATGTTTGCTATATCATCTTTACAAGGTGATACTACGTTAATGTTGTGTTAGAGCTTGTTGGACTGCACTCAAAATAAATGAATGCAGGTTTAAAGTTTGACTTGATTTTTATTGGGGAATACTTATATTTGTCTATGATTATGTTTTCTTGGTATTTATGTCTGATGTTCTGTTATCAGCAATCTGTGTTTTAATGGAACAATTCATATAATTGTTATTGCAAACATGTTACCTTTTTACACTTCCATCAGACATGGAGCAACATTAGCCTTCATTTGGAGTCACACGTCTGATAACTGGAGAATATTCATCTAATATTTGTTGCTCATAAACTGCTAAACACTCCATTTGTCACCAGCTAACTTCTTACATCACAAGTCTGCGATATAAGGTAACATAACCAGATGTTTTAGTTATTTTCATTGCTTTAACCTGCTTCAAAATCAATAGTGAACATTCGTAAATGCCTGCACCCAGCTCTGATGTCTCAGTAGTGAGATGTGCTGCTTTGCATGTGATGTCACTACTGTTAAAAAGTATAATCATTGGAGGATAATCCCTTCTTAATTATGCACATCCTAACACAAGAAAAACTACAAATAAACCCTAGTTTATTAATACCTCTCCTCGTCTGGTGGATACCTCCTCTGGTTCAGAAGAGCGTCTTGATCTAAACCAGCTGGGAAAAAAGGAAAACATTTTTTTTTGTTTATGTTGTGATGATAATGATCTACAGCCACATATACAAATGAGTGTGTAGCTGCATATGTCATATCACAGGAGAATTTGTCTCACCATTCAAAGATGACCATTGTACTGATGAGCATTATGATTCCCAGGATCTTCAGTATCAAATGAACATCAACCGTCTCAACCTGTTGATCACCTGCAACCCAACAGCATGGTCAGATTCCACTCACTGGGAAACATGAGAACATCTCAAACCAGGACTCCTGCTGCTACCTTCAAATATCAACGCACGTCCTTAGTTTAATTACATTTAATTACGTGTAATTTAACCCCGGGGATACTTCCTGTGTTTCAGCTCCACGCAGAAAGTCCTGCTGGTTTAGTGGTACCAGTGACCTACATTAAAAAAACATGAAGTACATGTGAAACATCAGAAATCCTTTATTCTTCCCGCAGTGGGAACATTTACAGCAAAGTAGAAGAGTTACATATTATATAAAAAGGCAAGTTAAAAATAAAATGTAATAATAAATAAATAGACTATGGTAAAACAAATATGCAGCAGTGTCTAAAAATAATATATCACAATAAAAAAAAGAATACTGCAAAAAAACATTCTAGCTCTTTATGCAGGATACAAAATATATCATTATAATATTTTAAAATTTAAATATTATTAATTTGTGGCATTACATTATTTAAAATATGATATTCTTCTGTTTTTATCACTAATTCATGACTTATTTTAATGTAGTATTGTGTTATTGTGGAGCAAATGTAAGATACTTTCTTTGCAACTGGGTAGATGAGTTGAATATTACAAATTCATAAAACATCCTTTCAATAAAAGTAACTATATGACATTAAAAGAAGGGGACAGTACCCTACAATACACCACTGCGTTAGGACCTCCATGTGAGCAACAGTGACACCCAGTGGACACACTCTGTATTACATGATCTGTAATGAAACATAAACACTGCAACAGAACTCATGCCATGTCCTACATCCAGTGGTGTAAAGTAACTAAGTACATTTACTAAGTACTTCACTTAAGTGCAATTTTGAGGTACTTGTATTTTGAGTATTTCAATTTTCTGCTACTTTATACTTCTACTCCACTACAATTCAGAGGTCAATTGTGTACTTTTACTCCACTACATTTATTTAATACCTTTAGTTACCTTGCAGATTTGGATTCATGATGTGAAATATATTTACACATTTAGTCTTGTTTTTGTAAATTGTGTTTATTTGATGGATTCATTTTTATTAAGTAGCATACTGTACATTTGCACCTCTTTAACTTAGAAGCCCCTGATAGCTTTGCATCTTCCTCTGTATCATTATAAAATAGGCAACAATACACATATTTAGCTATAATCAATGAATATTTTAACACTGTCAAAACTTCAAGATCCCCCCAGCTGTCATCAGATGGTGATTAATACGATGCTAAATCTTGATTGGTGCACAGAAACAGGTGACATCATCTTTTCCAACCTAAGCCACACCCACGTCAAACTAGTGAGAGCCTCCATGGAAAAAAGACTCATGTGAATTTCAAAACTGATAAAAGTTATGTCAAAAAAAGATAAATAAATATATACATGCTTCATAAATAAATACATAGAATATGATGTAAAATAATGCTACTTTCCAGTTTTTCCACCATATCAGTTGGGAAGTGTTTTAAGTATTATGTCAACTAAAACAAAAAATGTAATATTTGTTAGTTTATTTTTGTAAAATGATCTTTACACAAAAATATACACAAGTTATCCGATCATATCTCGAGAGAAAGGAACATATGGTAAACCAGATAATGAAGATATTTGTACTTCCTGTTTTATTCGTCATCGTCTAACTTTATATCTGATAGTCTGATGAGTTTGATATGAAAGGTCCAGCCAGAGATCAAGTAGCCCTACAACTCCCCTTTCTTTGTTTATTTCTATGAATAAATTGAACTCTTTTAGTAATACTAAATGTAAAATGTTGGGTTAAAAAATGCAGTTTGTTGCATAGCAGGGCCTTTTATTAAAGCAATAAATAACATAAAAGCGCACTTTAAAAAAATCGAAATATGACACTTTAAATATATGGCAAAGAACTTCAAGGTTTGAAGCAAAAAGGTTTTTGTGGCAGAAAAAAACCCTGAAAAATCTAAAAAAATACTTGTCTATACATTCATTTCCTTTTCACTTGAGCGTAGAGGTCCTCTAGTCTGTTTGCTGTCTCTGACACTTTGACCTCAGCGTACAGCGTGTCCTCCGTCTGTCCACCGTCCTGCTCTGAGACAGGGGGACTTATATTCCTCTGCTTGGAGAAGTCGATCTCTCCGTAGTGGATTTCTTCTCCTGTTTCTGTTGCTGCGGCTGATTCTTGGACAGCTGTTAGCCTCTGCGTATCATTGATTTGTGTCTCATGTTCTCTCCTGATCTGCTCCCCCTGCTGAGAAACAGAGTTGAGAAATAGAAATAAGAACTCTGATGAAACACCATGACAGTGGTTCATTGTGCCACATTTACTCACAGATAAGGAACTTAGTCAGTGCAGTCTCCAGTCTATTTAAGAAAGTATTCACAACATATATATGTACTGCACATTTGAGTATTTCCCCACCTGTGACTGTTCTTGAGTTGTATGTTTGGACTTCAACCACCTGGAAGAGATAAAGAATATAACATATAACATCATGTAATAGATGTGGATATTAAATTGATTTGAGTTACTTACCAAACAGCAACAGCAAAACAGATGAGTATCATGATCCCAATGATCCCCCCAACAACTCCCCCCCATGGTGAAGAGCCATCAGTTCCTACAGGAAAAAAACCATTTGTGGCTATAATCCAGATTTCATGTAGAGCTTGACTTCATACAGTATTTAGGAAACACAGACAATGATGAAGCTGTTGCAAAACTCAAAATGTTTTCTCAGTTGATGAAATTCAGTTTTTTATTTTCTCTCTTCCTCTTTTCACTTTCCTTTCCAATTACACATCTCTTTTCGTCCTATTTTATGTGGCCTAATTTGATGAAATCCTAATTTATCATTTATAGACCACATTTTTCTATGTAAATATGTTTTTTAACTTCCCATCAAACTCATTATTCCCATTTTTGCATATATTCACATTGATGCATTAACTGCTCTATCCAACAATACCTGCTCCTATTTCACAAACTTATGCAGTACATTTCTGTGTTTACCTCCGTTAGCCAGCTGGATCTTTGGTGATGTTTCTTCACCAAGAGCATTTGTGGCCACACAGTAATAACGTCCTCCCTCTGTGGCATTAAAGCTGTCAATCTCTCCCTGTGAGACCTTCATGTCTCCATCTTGGCTCTCCTTGAACCAGGTGAAGCTGCTGACGGGAGGCTGGGCTCTGCTGGAGCAGCTCAGCTCCACCCAGCTGCCCGCTGACACAGAACCTGAGGGCGGACTGAGGGAGGTGTCCTTAGGAGCATCTGAGGAAAATGTGAGATTAACTTCATTCAAATCATACCATCATGTGCTGACAATCACAGGTTGTTCTTACATGAAACATGGAGAGTCATTGTCTCCTCTGCTGTCTTCACATCTTTCCCTTCATTCACAGGATAGCTGGCAGAGCACGTGATGTTGAATCCATCATGTTGGTCTGTCAGAGTGAGGGTCTTCTGGATCTTAGTCGTGAAGGTCCGATTTGGGTTTTGCTCCATTGTGTTGGGAGGGTCTTGTTGGAGAGTCCAGGTGAGTTTAGGAGGGGAGTGTGGACAGGGAGCTGGAGCTGAGCAGGTTACAGTGACAGACTCCTCCTCCTTCAGATCACCTGAGATCGCAATGGTGGGGCTCGGAGGAGAATCTGTGGTTTTACACATTTTAAATGTAAGGATACAGGCCAATACAGTTTTCAACAGTAAAAAATGTACATCTTATTGTAAAACTTGAAAAGAAAGATTAGTCAGCTGGATCCTTTATGTAGATGTTGTCATTCACCGGTCACCACATGAGACTCAAATCTGTGCATGTAGACGTGCATTATTTGTAATAGTAATGCATACAATATTATATACTGTAATATATTTGGATTTAGCAGGTTTCAGATATTTTGACTTTTTGATTGTCTGAATAATTTCTGTAATAACTGATACATTGATTATCCTAGATGTATAGTTTAACAATAAAGGTATGACTACTACTCCAACAAAAAGTCTCTTACCTTTCACTGTTATTTGAAGAGGATCACATGCAGCTGTTGCCTTAAATGGGCTGTTCTCAATCCTGAAGAAGTATTTGTCTGTGTGAATTTCTTCCAAAGTAGAAAACAGAGTGGTGCAGTTTCCCTGTCTCAGGTTTCCTGTAATACTCATTGGATATCTGTTGATTTTCCCATCACTGCGGGAAATCCAGTTTTCTTTATTTTGGCCAAATTTGGGGTCTTTTTTAATCCACACTCCGAAGATGTCTCGTGCGTTGTTGAAGCCCACATCTGGGCCAGCGCTGAAGTTACACGGGATCAGCAAACAGGATCCACTCAGTGCCTCCATCTGCCTCGGGGTGGTGATGTTAAGGGACTGGGAACAAGAACCTTCAACAAGATGTGGGAGAAAATCTGCAGGAAGAAAAAAGAGCATATTAACAAACTGTGTCTTGTAAGCAAATTGTATACAAACTCAGGATGTGAACAAAGGAGTCATTCTGGTATTTCTGCTTTTTCTAAGTAAAGATTGTAAACTATTAAAGTAACAAACATCTCACCTGAAACAAACAGGACTAGCAGCAACATGTTGGTCACCATATTCAGGATTCTGGATTTACAAACAAAAGAACACTGTTACTTTTCATTTGTGTTAATCATATATCGATTCAGTTTTGACAAAGTGCCTTTTAAAGCAACTTCCCTACTTCAAAGGCACCATAGAAACCTGCCCTGTACAACCAGTTAGTTTTTGACACTTTCAATTTAAATGCTTCTGCAGTATTATGCTTTGAAATAATTAACAGAAAATATAAAAAATACAATAAAAGACAGAGTTCAGTCAAATGTTTCCTTACCACATGAGCCCACAGCTAGAAAATAAGAAAACGTAAAGTGTTCTGGCTTGAGTCAAACCTTTTTATGTTTAAGGGAACTGAACTAACCACGAGCCGCTGTAATCTAAAGAAAGAGGATTTGCTGTTGAAGAAATGTTTCCCTTTTATGGAGGCAAAACGAGTAGAAATCACATCACTACATTTACTGCAGTTTTTACCAACGCTGCAGTTTTCCTGTGATCAAAGATGAACACCACCCTTAACAGAGGTAGAACAACGCACAATCATGTTTTTTTTTGTTAATTTAATGTTTAGTTTTTAAAGTGGATGGTTGTAAAAAATGTGGTTGATGTTTGGAACCCTTCCATAGCCGAAAACAGTGAAAATGTAGTCTTCTCCAAAGGGGGCCATGTATGCCTTATCACATGTTTCTCTGGAAATAGTGACCAGAATGCCATCACCTTTGAACTAGTCTGTCATTATTAAAACAATCACACACATATTTAATTCAAATGTACCAGAGATTGTTCTCTTCTTTCTTAAAAGTAGGAAGTAAGGAAGTGAGACATTTTTAGGTTTCAAAGGACATGAGTCATGCCGTGAACAAAAATAATGACATATTTCAAGAGCAGGAAATATTAACTTTATTTTATTCACAATGTTGATTCTTACCATTTTAATTATCAAAATGTCATCATCAAAACAGTAACTTAGATATCTGATTGTATTTGTATGCATAACACTCAAAGCTTCTGCACAGAATTCTTTTTTAACCCCTGATTTGTTTTTAATTTAACACAGTTCACATGCATCCAACAGAAATACAAGTTAAGCAAATACAAGGTATAAGAACAAAATAAAAATCATGTGCCATGATTACGTTTAACGTGAGACAAATTAATGAAGAACATTTGACTTGTGTGTGTATTTAATGGAGACAAAGAGCAGGAAACACTTCAACATGTTATTCACTAGGTTTAGGGTCATATTTAAAGACCATAGTACCATTTAGTATTTACAGAAATCTGAATTTTAAGTGGCACGATAAGGCAAATCAATACGAAATAGATTATTTATCCTATACCAAAAATACCTGAAAAATGTTGTAGAAAGCATTGAAATTATTGTCTTACCAAAATGTCGATTCAGGAAGTAATGTAAGGTGTCCAACAAATGTTCTACAGTATTTAGTCTTGCGAGAAAAAAGGAAGTGTGGACACACACACCAGGCTTTTGTATCTGCTAGATGCCACCTCATGACACATATTTCGTCTCTATGCTAATATCCTGTTTTTATTTTCACCACACCTCTCACTGCAATCCTGTAAGTCACTCCTTCTTAATGTGGAACATATAAGGGAAATCAATACAGCATTTTCTTTCAGTAAAAGTGAACTGAACGTCTTCCTGCTCTCTTTGTGACTTAGGATGTTTGTAACTCGACCACACGGTTGACATAGTCTGCTTCTGCTGCGTCCTGAAAAATAAGAGGGGAGTTTACTGTAACTTAAGAGATTTAGTATCTGTAAAGATTAAAAATAGTTGCAGCATGTCATTTGTGTAGCCACAGAATAACAGTTATGTCTCAGGACCTCACAACACCATACACTGTACAGCAGACGGAGCAATCAACCAAATAACTAAAAAGACCCTTTAAAGGTCACCTTTTATGCAAAATCCACTTTTTCATGTCTTTTATACATAAACATGTCTCCTTTCTGTGTTAAGAGATTCTGAAAGTTTCAGGAAAATAGATTCTCTCTCTTTTTGTCCTGACCCATTTATATAAAAACCTGTCTGAAAATGAGCTGATCACATTTTGGCCACTTTGTGATGTCATAGTGTTTTTTTGGGTTGGACAACCATTAGCCAATAACCAACCAAGGTAATACCCCCCCCCCCCCCACCTTATCACCTGAATCTCCTCCTATGCGGCTTTCACACCAGCGCTTTTCCCTTTCTAGCTCCTAGCTAGAGCTTTTCTGGTTCAGCTCCGGTTTCCCTTTTCAGCTCCCGCTCTGTTCACACCGCCCAGCTGCCGCTGCTGCGTCATGACGTCACCGTTTACATAGCTAATTTTCTCCTCAACGGAGCTCACAACAACAACGGGGGGGGGGACTGCGTCGGGTCGATGATCGTGTTGCTTTTAATCATACGAAGCCAGATTAAATTAAATAACGACTTCTCCAACCTTATACTTTTCTCCAGAGTGCCGTGGTTCATTGTTTATTAATGTGTTTCAGCGGCATTTACCGACCGCTGCAGTGCTGGCTGCTCTTCCACGGGAGTTTATTCTCCCGTTAGCTCCGGGTTAGCTCACACGGCTCTAAAGTATTCACTGTCTGACTGTCACACAAGCAGCTGATACATATCCCCAGTTCCCCTTAAGTGAATGTGTGTCAGTCTGAATTGACGCTGTTTGGCATCATAACGTTGTTATGAAAGTTTCTCTGGTATAACATGGGTGATGTTAGCATAGCAACCGAAGCTAAACTGACTACTTGCTAAGCCGTTTTCTACAGGCACATTTTACCGGCGTATTTTTCATTATGATTCTACTTGTGATAGTCGGACATGACAACCTGTGCAGCCCATGTATTGATTCCATCCGATAGCTGCTATAATAACAAACAAAACGTCTGCCTGCTCTCCACAATGATCAATAACAGCGAACGGATGGTCAAAGTAAGGTACAAATAAACAGAATCACACGAAGCCTGGTTAGTGTTGCCTGACTTTATAAAGTGTGTTTTTTTTATAAGTGTGTGGTTGCCTTCTAGTCACTTTGCTCAGCGCTACTGCTTGTAGGCAGGCATGACGAGACTCTTCAGTCGACCCATGTTCAGGGGAGGTGGGTTTAGTTTCCTGCACGCCTCGACGTAAGAGAGACATAAGCGATGCCGCGTCATAGCTCCGAAGCTCTTGCCTCTAGACCGACAATGTTTTGGAGCTGGAAGTGAACCGCATTCCGGAGCTATGACGCGGCGCCGCTGCGGTGTGAACAGGAAAAACCGGCGCTTTTCCAGCTCCAGCTCCGAGCCGGAGCTGGAAAAGCGCCGGTGTGAAAGGGGCACGAGAGCACCATTGTGTTTGTTCAAACCAATCACTTCTCAGAGGGGCGTGGCCAGCAGCCGCTCATTAGCATTTAAAGCTACAGACACAGAATCAGCACTTTTGAAACAGGGCTGAAACAGAGGGGTTTATGGGATGCTAAGATTATCTGTTTGGTATTTCAGCCAAACACTTCAGAGACATGTTTTGTGTATATCTGAGACCTATAATATATTGTTGAAAAAGAGTATCATAGGGGATCTTTAAAGAATAAGTTGAAATGTGCACAGTACAACGCACACATATACACAATAATGTTTGCTGTATCATCTTTACAAGGTGATACTACGTTAATGTTGTGTTAGAGCGTGTTGGACTGCACTCAAAATAAATGAATGCAGGTTTAAAGTTTGACTTGATTTTTATTGGGGAACACTTGTATTTGTCTATGATTATGTTTTCTCTGTATTTATGTCTGATGTTCTGTTATCAGCAATCTGTGTTTTAATGGACCCATTCATATAATTGTTATAGCAAACATGTTACCTTTTTACACTTCCATCAGACATGGAGCAACATTAGCCTTCATTTGGAGTCATACGTCTGATAACTGGAGAATATTCATCTAATATTTGTTGCTCCTAAGCTGCTAAACACTCCATTTGTCACCAGCTAACTTCAAGGCTGCGGTATAAGGTAACATAACCAGATGTTTTAGTTATTTTCATTGCTTTAACCTGCTTCAAAATCAATAGTGAATATTCGTAAATGCCTGCATCCAGTTCTGATGTCTCAGTAGTGAGATGTGCTGCTTTGCATGTGATGTCCCTTCTGTTAAAAAGTATAATCATTGGAGGATAATCCCTTCTTAATTAAGCACATCCAAATACAAGAAAAACTACAAATAAACCCTAGTTTATTGATCCCTAAGAACTAAATTAGGAATTATTTTCAGTTGGATTTTTTTGGTTGTCATGCAGGCAGTTAAATGTGTCCAATATGAAATACCTCTCTTCGTCTGGTGGATACCTCCTCTGGTTCAGAAGAGCGTCTTGATCTAAACCAGCTGGAAAAAAAATAAAAACATTTTTGTTTTGTTTATGTTGTGATAATAATGATCTACAGCCAAATATACACATTAGTGTGTAGCTGCATATGTCATATCACAGGACAATTTGTCTCACCATTCAAAGATGACCATTGTACTGACGAGCATTATGATTCCCAGGATCTTCAGTATCAAATGAACATCTAGGCCTACCGTCCCAATCTGTTGATCACCTGCAACCCAACAGCATGGTCAGATTCCACTCACTGGGAAACATGAGAACATCTCAAACCATGACTCCTGCTGCTACCTTCAAATATCAATGCACGTCCTTACAATAGTTTAATTACATTTATTTGACATGGAATTGTAGTGCAGTTTCATGTTTACCTCCGTTAGCCAGCTGAATCTTTGGTGATGTTTCTTCACCAAGAGCGTTTGTGGCCACACAGTAATAACGTCCTCCCTCTGTGGCATCAACGCTGTAAATCTGTCCCTGTGAGACGTTCATGTCTCCATCTTGGCTCTCCTTGAACCAGGTGAAGCTGCTGACGGCAGGCTGGGCTCTGCTGGAGCAGCTCAGCTCCACCCAGCTGCACACTGACACCGAACCTGAGGACGGACTGACTGAGGCGAGGGTGTCCTTAGGAGCATCTGAGGAAAATGTGAGATTAA